ATTTTTAGCAAAATTGGGCAAAATCAGATATTTATGAAAATTTCAAATAAGGGTTAACCTTGCATTTTTAGCAAAATTGGGCAAAATCAGAAGTGTATGAAAATTTCATATTGTAAGGGGTTAACCTTGCATTTTTAGCAAAATTGGGCAAAATCAGATGTGTATGAAAAATTTCAAATTGTAAGGGGTTAACCTTGCATTTTTGGCAAAATTGGGCAAAATCAGATGTTTATGAAGATTTCAGATTGTAAGGGGTTAACCTTGCATTTTTGCCAAAAATGGGCAAAATCAGATGTTTATGAAAATTTCAAATTGTAAGGGGTTAACCTTGCATTTTTGCCAAAAATGGGCAGAATAGATGTTTTCGAACAATTTAAAGTTGTAAGGGGTTAACCTTGCATTTTTGGCAAAATTGGGCAAAATCAGATGTTTATGAAAATTTCAAATTGTAAGGGGTTACCTTGCATTTTGAGCAAAATTTGGCAAATCCGATTTTTATGAAAAATTTCAAATTGTAAGGGGTTAACCTTGCAGTTTTAGCAAAATTTGGACAAAAATCAGATGTTTATCAAAAATTTCAAATTGTAAGGGGTTAACCTTGTATTTTTAGCGAAATTGGGCAAAATCAGATGTTTATTAAAAACTTCAAATTGTAAGGGGTTGACCTTGCATTTTTAGCAAAATTGGGCAAAATAGGATGTTCATGAACAAGTTAAAAATGTAGGGGGTTAACCTTCAATTTGTAGTAAAATAAAAATATTTATGAAAAATGTATAATTGTAGGCCCCTAATGGTTTAACCTTACTTTTTTAGCAAAATTAGGCAAAATCAGATTTTTATGAAAATTTCCAAATTGTAAGGGTTGACCTTGCACATTTCAATGGGAAAAGTTAACATTTGGACATTTTGTGATGAAGGTATGCCACATTTTCATAAACCTAGTGTCAAAATAACTGCAAGGCACCTGAAGAACTGTCAAAGAAACTTGGCAGGATTTAAGAAATGCTTTGCGACGATAGGAGCCAAAATGTACACGGAGGGGGGTTGAGGCCCCGCCCCTTTCTGGCTTTTCCCGCCGGTCTTAAGGTAGTTAATCTGACCTAAAATCCCTCTTAAGTGATATTTTCATGTTCCACAAGTGCCAAGGCATAAAAACAAACTGCTTCCATTTTCTCCTGTACCGTTACGTTGCAACGCGGCATCAGCGAAAAGAGGGGGTGATGACCACGCCCACCCTCCGCGTTTTTCGGGCCGCTCTTACGTTAATTAGTCTGATCTACGTTAATTAGTCTGATCTAAATCGCGCTTAAGTTACATTTCCATAATCTACAAGTTCCAAGCTATCAAATGATACTGGTTTTGTTCTTGTTAATCTAAAAATTTTGATTAAATGCAAAATTTGCCACATTTGGCATGGCGCCACATGATGGCCTTTGTCTGATCTAGCGAAACTTAAGACTGGTCATTCTGTGATCAGGGTCGATGATACTATGCTGTAAGACAATCAGGGGATTTGTTCCCAAAATTTTGATTAAACCCTATCCAGCCCTCAGTCTGTCTCTCGTGCTCTAGCCTAAATCATCGCTGGTGTAAGCGCCCCAACAGGTTTTGTTCCTCATGGATCTGACCCGACACCAATTTAGACTCGAATTCAGTGCCTTTCCCCAGCGGCTATGCCCGATGCGGAAAGACACAAAACACCGATAGAGCGTACGACGGCAACAAATGTGTATCTGTGCGCTGATGCGGTAACTTTAAAAATACAAACAGTGTCATTGTAAGCCAAACATTCCAAAACTAGATGGGCGCCAAACTGTCTTCTAGAGTATTGTTACCGTCATGGCTGGAGTATACATGTACTTTAGTGAAGGCAGACAGAGTTTCTCCCCTTTTATTCACATTTTGTGTGGGCCTTGTACTTTAGCTCAGCGAGGTTTTATTCGAAAGTCAACACTTGCGTTCTTCGTGATTGATATTGAAGTTTACACAAAGGGACATTTCTAAATTCTATAGTGACAAGAATAGAAGTTCGAGAATTGATGAGACAAGCAAAACGATCAGTGAGCACTTTGGCGGCGATCCTTGGGGAATTGGGGGGGGGGGGACCAATGTCAATGCCCCGGCCCCCTTCTCCAACAACCCATTAAGACAAGTATACATTTTATGGAAGTTTACAATATTTTACCCACCATGAAATATTTCTAAGATATTGGAAGTCCACCACTCATCGAAATCGTTGTAAAATTAACGGTACCGTGTTTTCAAGCTGAGGAGACCGTCCCCTATGGCCCACGATGTGCTGTTGATAATAAAATCATGGTACTATCAAGCTGAGGTTGCATCAGACCAAAATAGGGATGGAGCTAGGGCCTACAGCTCGAATAGTTTTACCGTTGGTGGGCCTATAATTTGTTTAAAGTGAATATCAATACATGTAGTTTCGTAAAGTTGATTCCAGGGCTTGAAAAAGACCACGTTGACGGGGGGCTGGACGCTCGTGTTTGCAGATCCAGGGGCAATGTACAAATGTACATGTAGGCCCATCCCCCACCCCCACCCGATTTTTTTCGTGAAAATGAAGACACCTTAAAATTTCAGGAAACAAATTAAAACGTTGGGTATCACCCTCGAAAGTCGTGCCATCAGCTACACATACCTTTTATATTCAGTAATGCCGAAATAGCGCACGATACTAATCCCCTTCTCTTTTTTTTGGAAAAAAAAATAAAATACTCCAACCCTCTTGGCCCCCCGAAAATCATGGTTCTGGATCCGCCCTTGTGTGCCTCCGGGTCAAACCCGCCGGCTTGGCGTAGTGTGGTGATTCTTGCTGGTGGGGCGGTGCTTGGCGACCCCTCGGCGTACGTATGTACACGCCGCCTTCGAGACGCCTCACCACCACAGACACATGTTCCCGCTCTGAAAATGTATTTCATATCCCCAACAAAACAAAACACACTTAATGAAAACAAACAGAAAATGTTGCAACATTCTAACAAACTCCAGGTCATTTTCTATTAACTCGGAATCATGTGGCACTAAAACAAATAGGTGATTAATTATCATGTATGCTCTTAAAATGGAAAACGAAAAAGGAGAACAAATTGCACCCCTACAATTTCCCCTGGTATCAGTGGAATGGAATTCATGGAAGACTAAACAGAAATAGCGTCTTGTGTGATTGGGGAGACAGTTGAGTTCTCCCCTCCAACACCATAAAAAACCTTTGATTTGCCATCTATTTACAAGCTAAGAATCTAATTACCGGATGGCTGAATGCCTGTTGTTTTTTTTTGTTGTTTTTTAACTGAACGACCATCCTGTTCAATGCGGTCCTAATATTTTTGAAAAAAAATCCCAAGCAGGAAAAGCCAAAACACATTTGAAAGCAACAAGTGTGGGTCAATCTATCTGACCCATTCAAGAATTGAATAAGCACAATTTCAAATGTTCGGTTGTCATGTGAAGAATTCTCAAAGTTACATACAATCCTTTGAACAGGTTTACAGATGTAACATGTTCTGCACAAGTCCAATGGACTCCTAGGTTCCCATGTACCCTTTTTTGAATACTCAGGTTGTAAACATTTATGTACACTTACAATATATCACAAGACAAACTGGTTAACACCTCTTTGAGAATCTATGTCATGCCTTCAGATGAGATGAAGATGAAATATGGAAACACAGACGCACTACATTTTCCATCTTCAACGAGCGCAAGTGTGATACAAATTGTCCTTTTATAGGTAAACTTGGCACGTAATAAAGAGCAAGCATGCTGTGGTTCAATATCACATTGTTTTGCCAATCATGATGGAAGATTGAAGTTTGCTTATACATTTAACAGTTGTTGACTGATGTGATGTGGGATATGACGTTTTAAACACCCGAGGGACGCATAGCGCCCGAGGCGAAGCCGAGGGTGCTATGCGTCCCCGAGGGTGTTCAAAACGTCATATCACCTTTGTCATACCTCATATCACCTTTGTCATACCTCTGTCTTGATGATGTGGTTTACTTGTTTTGATGATGTGGTGTGGTTTACTTGTCTTGATGATGTGGTTTACTTGTCTTGATGATGTGGTTTACTTGTTTTTCTAAGGGAAATTAAGGGCGGCAAACTGAAGGAATCTTTGAAAAATTTTCTTTCAACATATATAGATGTAGGGGCATTAAAACAACCTTAAGTTCAGGGAAATTTGGGGTAAAGAATTTACAAGTTTAATATAAAAAAATCTTATCCCCTGGCATCTTGTTAACGTTTCCAAAAAAGTCTTCAAGAAGACTGTCCAGTTCTTTCACAGCAAGTGTCTCGAAACGAGTGTCCCTGCCCGTTTCTTCGCAGAATTCTCGTACAACGCGGACTGCGTAGTCGGTACAACGTTTGGTGTTCGATGCGTCTTGTTCAAAAGCTAAATCTTTTATTTGTTGTTTGGAGCGGCTCAAAAACCTTTTTTGGGGCGGAGAATCTGTGCCTCCGGGCTCAGCTGACATGTTGAGGCTGATGAGGATCGTATACGAAAAAACTAACTGTGTCAGCTCTGCATTTCCGAAGTTCTGAAGGCCTAGGCACCGTTACTAGAGTCAGTCAAAACGTAAACATAATCTTAATGCCGCTCGTCGCTGGCCGCCAAATTAAAGTAAATATCGTCTGCAAATGCACTGCACCGTCACTGCTATACATCATATTGTGGAACGTGAAAGTACTGCGGGGTACCAGTGAGTACAAGTATAGTCTGGTTTAAACGCGGTCCGCGCATAATGGTTTGGACTGTGGGGCGGGGACTAGTCTACATGCATGTGATATCACAATATGATATACAACGGGAGTGTGCCATGCATATTTATCGCCCGGTCAGGTGATCGTCCTGGGCCAATGAAAATACAGTATAAAGACAGAGGTATGACAAGTACATATATCCTCACAAAAGAGGAGAGTTTGCACATACTGCAGTGATACTGAAAATGAAACTAAGAGATATTTAAGATATTCCAGGGTCTATATGGTTACTCAGCTTCAACTGTCTTATGTTCATCTCCTAGTGTTTCTTGCATCCCATTGCCATTAGCCTGCTCTTCGTCACTGCTGAGGGCAATGCCTCCTTCCTCAGATCGCACCTCCCAATTATCCTCGTCAATAGCAAACATATCCTCATCCTCATCACCTATCTGATCTGAGCCATCACTCTGCAGGCTGTCCTCTTTTACCAGGTACGCATCGTCGTCAGCATCATCTTTAAGAAACGTCTCTTCATCAAGATCCCCATACAGATCGTCCTCTGACAAACCAGTGTCTTTAGGCTTATCCACAGCCACGTGGTGAAGATTTTGCTCCTCGCCTTGCTGAGATGTTACACTGGCAACTGTCTCCATCTTCTCAGTGGGAGATTGAGTTGATTCCTGTATAGTTGATTCGTCAGTAGGGAGCTTCTTTGAAGCTGAAAGCTCAATGTCTGTGGTTGATACGTCTTCCTCCTCAGTAAGCATAGGCTCCTGGTCATCAATACGTAGGCTGCCCTCTGTGCCGACATCCATCCTCTCTGTGTTTGGATCATCACCAGAGAGGTCCATAGTCCTGGCGACTGCCTCTGCTTCTGTAATAGTGCATTCACCCTTTTGGTCTGTAGGTAGATCCGTTTCAGATTCACCCTCTTCTTTACGCTGTTTCTCCTGAACTGCAGATGGCTCCACACTTTCAGCATTTGACTCCTCCGAAGGCATATTCTCTACCTTCTCAGCAGATTCCTGGCAACTTGGCTCCTCCCCTTGAGCAACTAGCTCCTCCCCTTGAGCAACTGGCTCCTCCCCTTGAGCAACTAGCTCCTCCCCTTGAGCAACTGCCTCCTCCTCTTGAGCAACTAGCTCCTCCCCTTGAGCAACTGGCTCCTCCTCTTGAGCAGATAACTCCTCCCTTTCTTTGGGTGTTTCACCGTGACCATCAGATCCCACTTCCTGCTGACTGGATGTATCCTGCCCTTCAACCTCTGGACTCGCATCTTGATCAGTATCATCGGAGAGCAACTGCCCAACTTGATCTTCTGTGACAAACACATTATTTTCTTCATCCATGAATTCCTCTTCAGCTTGTGTTGTGTCCACTTCCGGCGATTCAAGCTTCCTCTCTGCATCATTAGTCTGGGAGTCTCTTATCTCAGTGTTGTCCTGGCTAGTTATACTTGCAGCCCGAACAGAGATGTCTCCCAATACCGTCTTGTCTGCTTCTTGAGTATCTTGCTTTGGTTTATCAGGTGCTTCATCCTCATCATCATCAATGACAATCACATTGTCTTGTGCCGATTGAGTGCTCTCCAGTTTCGCTGCCTCTTTTCGGCTCTGTTTCTCTTTGATGTCTCCACTGCTGTCCAGATCTGTCTGCTTTGCTTTTTCTTGAGTTTCATACATGTACCAGCGCTGTGAGGGCAAAAACAGACAATGAGGTAACTATTAATGGCAAATAACAGAAGATCAGAGCATACTGTTCGCTAGTTGAGTTGAACCAACTGGTTCTTCTCAGAACCACACAACTCACTAAGAGATATCATTCACATGGTGTTAACGCAAACCTCTGAATCATTGATCATATCCACCATGCAAACCCTTAAGTCTCATTTAAAAAGTGTAAAGATTTAATGGTAATTTAATTTTATTTTATTTAATCTTTTTGTGGATTTTTTTTGTTAATTTTTTGTTTTGTGGAGTGCTGTGGCCTCGTGGTTAAGGGCACTGGATTCGTGGTCTGTGGGTAAAGCTGCGGGCTGTGGGTTCAAGTCCAACCGGGTTATGGTGCGTGTGCCCTTGAGCAAGGCACTTTGTCACTCACTGCTTCTCTCCACCCAGGAGTAAATGGGTACCTGTGAGGGCAGAGATGGTTATTGTGATTGAATAAGCTTGCTTGCGCCTAACAGGCAGCATGGAGCTGTATACTCCCCAGGGAGCTGAGATGGTATTTGGAATGTTTAATTGGCCCAATGATCAGGGGTAATAATAAAATAATAATACTGTAAGCGCTGTGATTTAGTTTACTAATAAGAGCGTTCTTAAATGCCGATAATTATTATTATTATTAATGGTACATTAATGGGAGCATATTGGGGATTACGCGTTCGCGCATAAGTGCATATGCCCTTCTGCCAGGCACACGACGAAATAGAATTTGTTGTTATTCTGCAAGTCCACCCACGCAAACAAATCCAAAATACAGAAATGAAAGTACAATCTCTATTAAGTCCCAGTGTTTCAGATTGAGATAAAAAATGCACTGTAATTTCTCTTCTAGGGAGCACGCTCATTTTTCCTCAAGAGCACTTTGTGTGTGATTAATTCTACTAATACTTTTGGAAACCAAGACACAAACACGTGGCCATTACAGGCTGTGATTCATCACTCTGAGAGGTTCTCTGAGAAAATTATCACTGATTGTGCAAACACAGATCCGGCCCTCTCATTTGCAGACTACGTCCGGTTATCTTTCCATTTGGAATTTTTTGTTAATTTCACTTAAAATGCACCACAGGGTATCTAATAACCAATTGCAGCTTTAATACAATCAATTATAATGTACGATGAATTAAATCAAGTAAAAAATATTATATCAAATGCTGATAATGTGACAATGGATCTAATGCAATACGGGTATCTTAAAGGTACATGCTCTATGTTATTTTGATACAGTTACAATGAATGCACACACAGTTTACTCAAGACTATCCAAGCGATACAAACCCCTTGCCCTTTAACTGTACCTTACTGCGTAAGGTCTATAATATGTTCGTTACATGATACAAAGATCCATACTCGGTCCCTGTGTTTGATGCAATCAACCCTCCTATGCAAACCTACATGTACATTCTGTGCCAAGTTGTCCTTGCAGTCAAAATCAATCAAGTGACTGTTTCCAACCCTTCAGAATTCCCAGCCCACATAAAGCAGGATTGACTGCCTTGGACTGCTTAAGTAACTTGATGCAGCTATACTTTGACTCCGGGAGAGTGATAAAACAGCTGTGACCACAACTTGCCTGCTTTGTCTGTTGACCCAGTTTGACTGGTCACAGTGCTTGCTTGACATATGATCCGACTGCTTGTGACTAGCCTTTGTTAAAGGTATAGCAGGGTAAGTGGAGGTGGATTTTGACTGTCTGTGACTGCTTAAAACCAGGAGGGTTAAACAGATATTTATCTGCCCACACACCCTCAAAAAGTAGAAAGTTATTGATATCACTGCAGGATGGTATTCATTGTTCTCCACCGTGCTAGTCAAACGGCTAAATGTTTCAAACGATGTTGCTTTTTCAATCAATTTCATTGCAGGTGAACTTGTTTTAATGGATTCTAAATGTTATTCTGTGTAGTACTTGTGATGGATATTGTTCGCTTTATAAAATTTTAGCAGATGTTTCATGTATTATTATTTTTATGTAAGATCGGTAAAGTAAAGAAAAATCCTAACAAACAGCTACGATATCTTGCTGTGGTACGAGAATAAATCTCAATATTTTCTGATCTTTGTTCCCAATGCATGGCCACCTGATACCGTGATTAAGTGGAGTGCTCTAAGTGCTTCCTTAATGACACAAACAAAAATGATAAGGAGAAGGTTTGATTAGTACTTGCGTCATCATTACTTTTCAATTCCAAGTTGCATCACGTAGAGTGCCGAGATGGGTTAATGTCTACACTGCACTTTGTGATGTTCGCAAATACACGTAGAACAACCGTTTATATACAACGTGCACTGCACTACTATGGATTCAGTATCCCTCGCGAGATACAGCAAGGTTCCACGTGAAGAAAATGCAGTAATGTTCCAAACTTTTGAATCCTCAACCTAAGAATTTATTCGGCAATGATTTCTTTGCCACTGTTGTTTTCAACAGTGCAGTTGGGCACTGAGCAAAGTTCTTCTGTGTCTGATTGAAAGCGTACTGTAAACCACCATGTCAGTCAATGGAGACAGGGACATCATATCTGGAATCGTCATCGCATACAGTGTGCTGTGTTTCATCATTGGGCTATGCGGCAATGTGCTCGTGCTGTGCGTCTACTTCACCAAGCGGACCAGATCTAGTACCAATATCCTTATAATTGCCCTGGGGATCGGCGATTTGTTACTGTGTACCATAAGGCTTGTGGACACCTTTACAAACCACGGCAGGGAGTATTTCTCCACGGTATCCAAAGTCAATGACATGATTCTGTTTGCTTCGGGCTTCATCACCACAGCCATTGCGTTTGATCGCTACGATGCCATCTGTCGATCCAACCGACGGTTCATGTCCCCAGTCAGGGCAAAAGTTCTCAGCGTGGTTTGTCAGGCGCTTGGAATCATAGTCATTGCACCCACCCTATTCAACACCTTCGTAATTGGCAGCACCGCGCTGTGCCTCTTTTTGAACAGCATCACAGCATTCCTCTGCTCGGCCTGCCTGGTCACTGTGATCAGCTTTTATGCAAAGATATGCCTCACTATACACAACCGTGTGAAAGTTGGTGTCCGCTGGAGGGCACAGCAACCCCCCAGGGGTCAGGTACAAACTGGAACGACTGGTAACCGACTGTCACTTCCCATACCGGTTAGACCAGAGAGATCTTCAGCCCAATCAGTCATAGCACAGTATCCCTCTCCACTAATCCTAGCATTAGTCTATGCCGAGCAGGCTCAGCAAATAGCAATTCAGTTCCATTCTCAGTCCAGATACCGGTTACCTTCTCAGCCGGCCAACGGCCCTTTTGGTTCCATTGCTAGCAAGACCACAAAAATGCTCCTGCTGTCCACAGCGGTTTTCTACATCACTTGGATACCGTTTATCATCCACCGTACCTTGGTGGTCAGTACTTCCTGCATTGCAGGGAGCGACGCGGTCGACAAAAGCATCGTCTACACGTTACTGAGCAGTATTGTTTTCATGAACTGCGTGCTGAATCCTTTCGTCTACAGCCTTGCAAACAAGAAATTCAGGGAAGACAGCATGGTGGTGTTTCTGAAGTTGAGATCAAAGATACGCAAGGCATGCGGGCACAACTCATGACTGATTTCAATGCTACTCAAAATCGGTTCCAGCATCATAGATGGACCAGAAGGATGCGACAATTTAAATACAGTCATTTTATGTGACAACAACTTGTGCTGAGAATTTATAAGCAAACGATTCCTTTCAACACAGCAATGAAAAAAACCCAAGTCACATTCACCAGCAGCTGTTTTGCTAAATGGTCCCTGGCAATCATGACGACACAGAATGTGTGGTCTATAATGTCTGAAACTTGTTGATAATACATGGATCATCATTTTTAAAAGCAGAATCGCCACCATCCACCTACATCATGTTGTGCTGTACAGTGATGGTTATCCCGCGAGCGCGACTTTTACACGGAATAATGTAGTGCAACTGTGTCCCACATACCTTGAGGCTGAAGGCCGAGTGGTATGTGGGACACAGACGCACTACATTTTCCGTGTTCCACGAGCGCGATAACAAATTTATCTTCAAGTTCAAGCAAACTTGACGCGTAGTAAAGTTGGCCCATCGCTTTACACGAACCTTTTAGCGGTTTAGCGCATGCAGCTGGAATGTCGCTCGCATCTTGGAATAGCGCAATACGCAGGGTGCGATATGGACCGTGCAATACAGCCTCATATCACACTGTTGTTGCCATGGATCGACCAATCAGGATCGAGGATACAAGTTTGCTTGAAGATAAAACTTCATATACCACAATGCAGACTTGGCAGAACACTGCGTTAAAGAGCTGTTTAAGCCAGACAATTCTGTGCTGCTAGTGTGTATTATGTTTTTTTTAACAGGCTCTGGAAGCATACAAAACAACGAACAACTTTGCTTGATGTGAACCCTCCCTGCTTTCCCTGACATCTGATTATACGCACTTATTATACAGGTAATATAACCTGTATAATAAGTGCGTATAATCAGATGTTAATTAAATATTTGACATTAGCTATGTCGTATAACAACTGTTGCTTTTGCAATGCTGGCTGTTCAAAGCTAATCATACTTTGGTGATTAATTAAACTTTGCTGGTATCAAATTGAATCAGGTTGCAATTCTTACCTATAAAGCCAATGGATATCGGGTTCAGTTGCTCAAAATTACTAACTCCATTCCAGCCACTGTGTTTGTTATAACAACACTTAAAATGTGGACATCTCTGTCTCACCGCCATGTGTGTCACTTTAGATATTACCACTTACTCAAGTTACATGTATATTAAAACTTGACAGAAATCACAATGAATGTTTTCAATTTGGTATTTTAAACATTTGTATTAAAATACGACCCGTGAAAGCTCTAAGAATGGTGGAAATATTTTGGGGCATGTGAACTTGTAAATATTATGTTTTCCTAAAAAAAATTTTTTTTAAATGCACCCTATAAATATCATCATGCAATTGTACTATTTCTTAAACTGCATTATAACTGTTTATGTGTGTTCTGCTTTTATTGACAGCCTGGATTTAAAGTATTACTTTTGTGTCTTTGTCATGGTTTTGTTTTTCACATTGGTTTTTCAGAAAGCACCCAATATGATGCAATGATTTGAACCTTATTAGAACCCTCCTTTTGTTTGATCAGTCACAGACAGTCAAAAAGTCAATACTGTTCCGTTTGCCATGCCTTTTACATGGGCATCGCGAAAATGAAGAGAAAAAAAAAAGAGGAAACAACCACCAAAAAAACAGAAAAAAGGAAAAAGAGGTGCGAAGCCATATTGCTGTTAATTTGATGGGGGTGGGGGTAGAGCAAATGCTCCCCAGCTCACGCTCGGAAAAATGATAAATTGATAATATAATGAAAAAGTTAAGGAACTTTTGGGACAAATTTGCTTTGACCCCCCCTGGAAAAATCCTGGCGACGCCCATGGCCTTTTACACAGGCTAGCCACAAACAGTGAGACAATATTTCTTGTAGGCACTGTGACAGTCAAATTCCATCAGCAGACAAAAGCAGGTGACTGGTAGGTACACCTGGCTTATCAATCTCCGACAGTCAAAGCATAGCTATCAGGTTTCATAACAGTCACAGCCAGTCAAGTTGCTTTGTGAAGGCAGGGAGCACTTAACAGCTAAAAACAGTCACTTGATTTATTTTGACTGCTGGGCTGGCCTTGTTGAAATTGCCATCCAGAGAGGGAGGGTTAATGATCTCAGCAAGCAGTAGCTTGAGGTATTGTAATAACAAAGTTTTCGGGGGCTGGATTTGATGGACAGAGGAAAGTGGGGAAAACTGCAAAGTTACATCCGTTTCAGACTGGTTTTCCAGAGTTATTCTAAAATTTTGAATTAATAAGTTCAATGTCTGAAACAGTTCCGTGGAGAGTCATAATAGAAATTTGGTTGGCGAACCAGGAATGATTACTCAACGATAAGCCCCTTAGACGCTGCGGAGGGAAGCGGGGAACGATACAGAGTGGCTAGCAAACGCTTCGCAGTTGGGTGCACTGAACTCTCCAACAAGTTTGTGTAACAATAGAGAGCTTTAAACATTCTATTGTGGCTGCTACCCTGGCCGAGATAGCTAGGACGCTTGTAAGTGTTTACACAGGGGTTGTGTTTGCAGTACCCAATAGTTTAATATGTCTTTGCTAAATGTAGCAAACTGCCCTAATATAAGAATATAAATTATAAAAATGTGTTCTTGTTGATTTCACCATAGAAAACTCTTTTGAGTGGATTAATCATTTTCTTTCAACATTTTTTTTTTATGAAAAATATTGCTTTCAGTATTGGATGTTCTAAAATCCGTGGTTAACTTAATACTCGTTCTAGAACAAGAGAGGAATAAATTCCAACCGAGGAATAAAAAAGCAGACAAAAAGGGATGTAGTTGAGTCCCTGCAAGTCCAAGTCCCCCAGTCCCAATAAGCGAATTTGGTATTCCAAAATAGTCCAGTGCACGGCAAGATTTGACAATTTTTTTTTCGGGATAACCGCGGCAGATAAATGCACCCAAGGCTATGGGGACATGGTAACCAAATCTGCATTCTGTGCAATTTTTCGTGCAATCTAAAAGAGATGAAACTTTTGTTCGCACAACAATTTTAATCCCGAAAGAAAAATCGGCAAATCTTGATGTGCACAAGCGCAGTTGGAATACCAAACTTGCTTATTCAACTCCCAAGCTATTCACATGAGCTTTGACAAAGGCGTTCCTATATTATTGATCATCCACTGTGACTCGTGACTGGACTTTGTGATAGACTCGACTACATCCCTGGTCTACGATGTCTGCAAAGACCTCACCTCCGCCTTTTGCTTGTGTAACTCCGTCTTGCAATGACTGCTTCTCACTGTGTACTTGTCGTTGTAGAACTTGGAACAGCACTTGCAGAAGAAACCAGTAACTGGGATGACCAGTTCAAACCCTGAAAGGAAAGAGAAAACATCATTGCAAACGGGTCAATACAGAAAAGAGAAGATGACTGAAATAAGTTTCAAAACTTGTCAAGGAATCTATTTATATATTTCTCAAAGTAACTAAAATAAAGTCTGTCCCGAGCCAATACGGCCCATCAGGCCGGCGTTTATCTCCGGTTTCAGTGGCATGAAACGACTGAGAATATTTCTACTCCCCCTGGACGGGATGCCAGTCCATCGCAGGTTACTCCCCAGCTAATGCCAGTACCCATTTATATTCCTGGGTGGAGAGAGGCAAGTGGGGATGAAGTGGCTTGCCAAAGGACACAACATATGACCAGCAGCTGGATTCGAGCCTCTGACCCTCTGATCATGATGAGTCACAAACCCTAACCCCTGGGCCACACTCCCCACAAAACTTGTCAAAGAATCTATTTTGATATTCCTCAAAACTTGTGTTTTTTTCAAGAGTGAAGGATCATCTGAGGATCTTGTATTTACCAATGAGATCTTCACCCTTCTCCTCACTGTCTTGCCTCACAGACGAGTCGGCGCTCAGTTTTGATGAGGACGCCTCCGGTGGTATCTCCATTCTCAGGACAGTGACGTCCTTTTGTCTGCCGATCTGCAAACCTATATTTGAATCACAGCTTACTTAGTGCTAACGTCTTACATTTACATATGAGCAATTCCAGCAATATGGAAGAAAAAGAAATGTCCGTGACAAGAGCTTTAAAGCTACAGTCCATCATTTGTAATTTGTGCATTTTGTTCCTTTGAAGCAACAAAAGAGTTCAAAATCTAATGAAGGATACTGAACAACTAACCTGATGAAGTTTCAGCTAAGCTTCAGCTGTACATTCCGAGAAAAACAGTATTCTAAGATCTCAATTTCAAATCAAAAGTTACTGAATCATGTTTTGAATTGTTTTAAATTGCAGCTATACGCGACGTCGCGTGTGCGTCGTTCCAATACTTGTGCGCACTGTGCTGAATAACAAAACGAACTACTAATTTAAATTTTCCTACGGTGCTTCTTAAGAATCACCGTTGAAAATGCCTTCTTTCGTTGATTACTTCAAAATGACAGCTTGTCAGAAAGAATAATTTCACAGGGAGTTTAGTCCCCTTACTATCTTTCAACCAAGTATGTATTTCAACAATAATTACGCCAGTTACTTTTCGGATAGCTGCAAATGATGGACTATAGCTTTAAGAGCTCGGCCTTTTAAACCTGAAAATGTATTTTTTAATCTTATACACCCATCATCTAGTAATGGTCAAGGACATTACAGACTTGGAGTTTGGCATCATTACTGTGAATCATTAATTAAATATCATGGTTAATTGGCTCTGTCACAGACAGTACATTATCTTTCATAACGCTGGACTTACCCATTTTAAAGTTCAATAATTGGCTCAGTCAGGAAGACTACATTTTCTTCAATAATGCTGAACTGCCCATTTTTTTAATACATGTAGTTCAAACCGACTAATTTGCCATTTACTTCTGCTTAGTCCACTAGCACCTGTAGTGCATTACACTATATTCTGTTCCCTGATGAAACCATGGCACCATAATGCTTAAGTGGTTTTAGGGTGGTGCAGGGGTAACCGGCAGGGTAATTTGGGGCAATATCAGGACTAAAGCCGGCCTCAGGTCGACCTTGCGACGACACACATCAGTCGGCGACTGACTTTTCTGGATCAAGCTGTGCTTGAGCTAGGACCGTCGGGAACATTTCAGGTAGTCGCCGATTTTGTGCGATTTGAGTGTAACTGCCACGATATTAAGACGATCGACATCAATTGGAGCTTAAAAAAATCAACAGTTTTGTGACCTAAGCATGATTTTTTTGCTTGATGCCGATGGTTCCGTCGTGGCACAAGCAAATCGTGGGTCGATCCGAGGCCGGCTTAAAAATTTTGAAATAAATAAATTTTTCAAATCATGTTCACGCACATGAACATTAGCCTTTTTGAAGTACGGCGGACTATATAGGATAGACTATTTGAAGCAGGTAAACTCTTTTGTATTTACCCAAAATGTAACCACTTCAAATAGTGCACTCTTGTTGTGTCCACCACAATTCAAAAACGCTGATGTATGTGTGGACTCAAACATAATGAAAACAAGTGTCTGAAGACGGACGTTAGAGGAACGGAAACATTTAATGTCTGAGAGAGAGAATAGTACTGAATCAATGTCAACGGTACCTGTTGGACCAGGTGCTGGTTTGGTGGCTGCCTTCACAACCTGGGCCTGACCTGGGCGCTGCCCTTGGTTGGGTCCTCTTGTCTGATTGGGCCCTTGTTTCTGATTGGGCCCTTGTTTCTGGTTGGGCCCTCGTGTCTGATTGGGTCCTTGTTTCTGATTGGGCCCTTGAGTCTGATGGGGCCCTTGTTTCTGATTGGGCCATTGTTTCTGGTTAGGCCCTCCTCTCTGATTGGGCCCTTGTTTCTGATTGGGCCCTTGTTTCTGGTTAGGCCCTTGTTTCTGATTGGGCCCTTGCTTCTGGTCAGGCCCTTGTTTCTGATTGGGCCCTGGTTTCTGAATGGGCCCTTGTTTTTGATTGGGCCCTTGCTTCTGGTTGGGGCCTCGTAGCTGGTTGGGTCCTGGTCTCTGGTTCCCACGCTGTGATTGGCCAGAAACAGATGTTTGTTTGGAAGCCGCCAAAGTTTGTGACTGGCTAGGTTTTTGTTGCTGGCTTGCAACAATCGCCTTACTTGGTTGGATGTTTTGTTTCTGCAAAATGATTAACAGTCAGAAATTTTGATTAGAATGTTTTCTCCAAAAATGTTCATTCACGTTAGCCCACGAACAGAAAAGGAGGGGGGGGGGGAGGAGGGAGAGAGATCATTATGCTATGAATCTACAACATAATTGCAGTAACAAGGAGTCACTACAATTGATAGGCTTAACATTTTTGTACAATTAAATGAAACTGGTTGGGGTTTCAACATGTTTTCAACTGAAACAAGCCATTTTTACTGTGGAGCATTCAAAATCTTCAAATGCATTGAACACTCCATGAGACGTTTGCACTCTGACACTGGGAATTGACGGGAGGGCCAAAAAGGGATAATCCATTTACAGTGGTTGTGGGGGAGGGGAACTAACAGGTGTAGTCTACTTATTTCTCAACTGCAAGTACCTTGGCCGCATCTGGAACCCTCTGATTGTGCTTACTGTCCTTCTCCGAATTTGCTCTCATCTCCTTCATCTGAAGATGGAAAAAGAAATCACTGCACGTCAGTCACTCTAAACAGCAGGCTCATTTTGAGAGACAAAGAGACAATGCACCTAAGACATAATGACGTCACACTTTGTTTACATGTGCGCTTTCTTATGGGAGCCAGGTGGGGACGAATGTCTCTCGGCTCCTAAAGGAAAGCGCACATGTAAACAAAGCATGACGTCATAGACCTTTATCATACTGCCACCATTTCAGTCATGTTCCCTGTTTCCAATAACAGTACTGAATGATAATGCTTTTTGTGTAAAAAGGAACCAGACTATTTTTCCTTCCAGCCTCGCCTTGGTTACGTTGATTTGAGTGGAAAAAATCAAGATGGCCACAACATGATAATGGTCTATTATGTCTTAGGTCTATGGCAGATATGTGCTCAAGTCTTTTTTTTGACAAAAAAGTAGAACAAAAATACATGCAGAAAAGTACAAAAGACTGACGGTTTAACAGCAAAACAGCTTTTTTTTGGCCCATAAACCTGGTCCATAAAAGTCCCATAGATTAGAACAGACATTCCCTGTGGTCACAAATACTACACATGATATTTCTCAGGCTCACCTTCAAATGGAGTGCGCCATTAAGGTGTCTTTCAAAATACAGCTTCTTCTTGAAGTACAGGTTGCACACTGTGCAAAAAGGCTGAAACATAAGTTTGCGCTGCGTGTTCACAAAGAGAAACAAAGAAAAAGTAGGCGTAAAATTAGAAACGGTGGTGAAACATGAAAGGGATTTGAATTGAAGAAACAAGTAAGATTTTGAGTAACTAATTTCAGGGTTCTGCCAAATGAACAGTGTGCACCAAATTATATCTGGGAGGTTGTGCTATAAAACCTAGACCACATTTTCCTCTCGGATGAAGCTTGCATATGTGTATGTGCGAAGACTTTTAAAAGTGAGAACATGTGCTTTAAATGTCGTCATTGAATCTGTTTGGTCATTTATCTAAACATGGAGTTTTTTTGTAACAAATAAATGGAAAATAAAATGAGAATGAGAACTCAACAAGAACTCAGTCTGACTTAACCAAAAATTCTGTTTCAAGAAGAGTGCCATACATTGAGCACTTAAATGCTTTGTTTGTATTAAAACAAGATTGTCAATAGTATTGATGGCTTAATCATTGTTGGCTCAACTAAAAAAACAGACCTTTCAACTCAGTAACGTCCGTTTTGAAGGTCTCAAATAGGGATGATCAGAGAAGCTATAATTTCAAAACAAAGATTTCCATGTCGAATCTTTCCATGCTTTTGGCCATGCTTCTGATCGGAATCAAGTCCACTACTTGCAGCAAAAAAAGTTCAGTTTATCAACCATTACCTGATGTCTATGCTGCTGTTTGTGTTCCTCTGGCAAGCACGTGTAGGTGTCGTAACAACTCTTGCAGAAATACACCCTCTCCGCGCCTTTCTCCAAGGTCAACTCATGAGGTGCAACCTTGCTCTGATCAGGAAGTTTCCGGATCCGATTCACCAGCCAGTGCTGTTCATTGGACCCGTTTGGTCCATCCAACCTTTGCACTCTAATTGTATGACCATTTGAATTTGTGTGGTTGTTATAAGCCTGAATATAAAGAAAAAGACCAACAGTTCAGAGGTTTACTGAGTTGAACATTCTTCATGTAAATTTGGGTTTGGTAGAACGTTATTACCGGAACTTTTTAATATCAAAGCTCATTCTTCAATTGAGCCACATGTGAAGCTACGACACCTTCGAACACTCTTACTGTTTTTCTACGCCCCGTTTCTTACTCATTGCAAATAAAATTTACACAGAAAGGTATATTTTGAAGATCATATTCAATGGACTTGCAGAACAAAAGTTCAATATAAACAGAGGGACCAGTGCAGGCATTTCGAGTTACAGGGGTATTAATGCACATTACATTCTATTCTTGTGACAGGAATGAAGAATTACTTCGAGATAAACAGCGTTTTTCAATTAACAAGAGTTTACTGTGTAAGGACATTTTTAGTGTGAGGCACTCGCGCGAGGCACATACCATAAACATACATGTAGCTAGAGGGGTGTTTCACAGAACATGAAGTAAAATTGTTGAACAAAATCGTAGGAAATTTATAAGTTTTCGACTTGTTTTAAATTTTTGGACCGAAAGGTAATGTATTTATGAATGGAATTACATATGTGCTTGGTTGGTATTAAAGCCAGAGTCCATCATTTGCAGCTATCCAAAAAGTAACTGGCGTATAATTATAATTAATGTTGAAAAACATACTTGGTTGAAAGATAGTAAGTGGACTAAACTCCCTGTGAAATTGTTCTTTCTTGCAGAGCTGTCATTTTGAAGAAATCAACAAAAGAAGGCCTTTCCAACGGTGCTTCTTAAGAAGCACCATAGGAAATTAGTAGTTCGTTTCGTTATTCGGCGAAGCGCGCGCAAGCATTGACACGACACACACACGCGCGCGGTTGCTATAATTCGTCGGTGCGCGTAGCTGCAATCGGCTCAGTGAGAATGTGTCTCGGATGCTGAATTCAGGCCCAATTCAAAACATGATTCAGCAACTTTTGATTTGAAATTGAGATCCTAGAATGTTGTTTTTCTTGAAATAGACAGCTAAAGCTGAGCTGCAACTTCATCAGGTTAGTTGTTCAGCACCAGTCCTTCTGATTTGAAAATCACAGGCGTGTCAAAAAAGGCACACCTGGATTTTTCTAGGTGTGTGTTTTTCTAGGCGTGTGGTTTTGCTAGGTGTGTGGTTTTCTAGGTTTGTGATCTGTGGTCCAGGGAAATTCAGGCATGCAATTATTCACACTTCTCGGGAAGCTTTTAGGTGTGCGATGGTGTGGGGGTTTGATCGCACGCCTCAAATCAAAAGGACTGCAGCACCCTTCTTTAGATCTTGAGCACTTTTGTTGCTTCAAACGAACAAAATGCACAAATTACAAATGATGGACTATACCTTTAAACAAGTACACTGAAAACCGGCTAGGGGCCTGGTTGGGGATAATGACCAGAGCTGAATCCAGACTCCTAACCGGTTTTAACTAAATTGTTTAAAACCAGCCAAGCACACATTTGTTCCCTTATTACTAATACTTTGTAGGCGTACCGTTTCGCTTGTCATGAAATCATTGCAGACGTAGCAGGCCCATACTGTCAGCACTTTGTTATAGATGAAGCCATGGAGATCACGAAGCTCCAAGAGTGATACCTGGAGAAAAAAAAAAACACACAAAGACTTTGTCACAATTATTAAACGTTGCAAGACTAACATTTAAAGTTGCATTACCTGTGTACTTCAACAAGTTTTTTCAATTAAATTACACAAGTGGTCTATTAAATTACACAAGTGTTCTGCCGACTACGTGTCGTCTCTTTCAGCGGTCCATCCCCATGTTTCATGTTCTTAAATTTAGTCTAAATGTGTGCTCTTAAAATGACCTTAAATGACCCCTAGATGACCTCTGATCTCCAATTTTGGAAGATTGTCATGAACCCCAACACAAGGATCACTCCATGCAGTTACATTAATAGCCATCAAATTATAAAGACAAAGAAACATTTAAGGTATATTGAACAATGACCTCTAATGACCCCTACATGACCTTTGACCTGAGTTATCCAATGAAGAATTGTGTCTTCCCACCCAAGGGTCACTGCATCCAAAATTAATCAAAATCCACACAAGCATGTAGGAGTTATGATTTTTTTTCTCAAAACTTCAACATACGTGTCTACGGTCTTACGGTCACTCATACAGAATTTAGGACTGGTTAGTGTCTCCAAAAACTTTGTCTAGGTGACACAAAAACGAAACACACCAAAACAATTACAAAAGTCAGCAGAAAGCTTTGAGAGTCTGCACAGCCTCCATAGGAATATGACTTTGTAAATCACATTGCCAAAAACAGCTCATAAAACGTAACATTTTGAATGGATACTTTACCTGTTTTCTGATACTGAACAGCCTAGGGTCAGGCTGTCGTTTAGCTGGGTCAGTTGAATCAGCTTTAGTTGATGTTGCAGGAGTCTTGGAGGCATCAGTTTCTTTCTTCGGGTCTTGGCTCTTGGGTGCGTCTGAAGTTGTTACAGAAGCAGCAGCCGTTGGGGCGGTACTAGTAGATGCATCTGTTGACGACGTCTGACTAGCATCCTTCTCGAATTTCTTTGGAGGGGACTCACGCGGTTGCGTAATCAACATCTTCGCAAAATGTGTAATAGTCCTCTTAGCTGCTTTGATGCGTTTTGCTTGTATGAAAGGTGGTATTTGATTAATTGGTCGTCTGGGAGGCTGATTGGCAGAACTGAGACCAGCTGCAGGTCCCGACAGGATGTTCAGTCGGTTTTGAGTTGGGGGTGAGGGAAAGAGAGGCTGGGGTACCCCAACTCCTGCGAAGCCTTGTCTGTTCACAAACTGTGGTGGTCTCTGAAAATGCAAATTTCCCTGGAGCAATGGTGACAGGTTTACAACACCGGGTCGACTGTAAGGAGACAAGTTGCTCCCCAACGGAATATTAATAAGAGTCCTCTGCTGGGGTTGGCTCATCATTCTCAAATCTTGTCCGGGGCTGATATGCCTTAGACCAATATCTTGTGATACTCTGGAACTCCTGGCTGACATTTCACGCTGTCGTTGCTGATACTCCGCTTCTCGTTCCATGTCGTCCCAACTTGGTCTCTCTATATGTCTGTCTTCACTCCAGCTATCCCTTCGATTACTGCTCTCTGATCTGACATCACTTCTCCAATCGTCATTTGGGGGATCAAGATCTCTCCTGTCTTCTTGGCTGTTCCCTCTCTCCCACCTCTCCCCCAGATTTCCAACAGGTGCATTTTGATAATCGTCTCGGCCCTTCTTTTCCCCCTGCTGGGCAGGAGCTCGTCCACTTTTCTGCTTTAACTTCCTTTCTCTTCTTTTCTGCCTAGAAATTTCTTCTCGATTCTGGAAAACCTGGTCTTCCCTGTCGATCCCAAAATTCTTTCCCCCCAATCTGTATGTCTCCTCTTCACTGAAATCACCACTATGCTTGCGTTCAAAACCCTGTCTCCTGTCATCTTCTCTAAAGTCATCTGATCTGAGGTCATCTTGTTCTGCATAAAGTGCATGGTCATCTTTATGATACTCATCCCTATAATCATCATGGCTATCTTCAAAATCCCGATGATCTCCCCTGTAATCGTCTTCCTCCCTGAGATCCTCCTCCTTGCCAGCATCTCCTTGGTCATAGTAGTGGGTCTCTGTGTTTCGTTCCCTGGAATTATCCCGTTGTTGACTGCCATAATAATCATCAGGCCTATCTTGGTTGCTGTACGTTGATTCATCATGACTCCATCTGCCCGGGGATCCTCTCCCAGCTGGTGAATCGCCTCTTTCTGTAAATCTTCCTCGGTCTTCAGATTCCCTCCTATCCTGGAATCGAGAGCTGCTATTACTGCGACTTCTTGAGTGAGTTTCTGAAGTGGTTCCACCTCTCCCACTTTGTCCTTGCAGCCCGCCTCTTGTCTGGTTTCTGCCTCTCATTTGCTTCCCGCCTCTCTTCCTGTTTCTTCGTCTGGTCTGCTTACCACCTCTTGGATTTCCACCATCTCTTGTCTGGATACCACCACCTGTTGTCTGGTTCCAACCTCCTCTTGCCTGGTTTCCACCTCCTCCTGTCTGGTTTCCACCTCCGCTTGCCTGGTTTCCACCTCCTCTTGTCTGGTTCCAACCTCCTCTTGCCTGGTTTCCGCCTCCTCCTGTCTGGTTTCCACCTCCGCTTGCCTGGTTTCCACCTCCTCTTGTCTGGTTCCAACCTCCTCTTGCCTGGTTTCCGCCTCCTCCTATCTGGTTTCCGCCTCCTCCTGTCTGGTTTCCACCTCCGCTTGCCTGGTTTCCACCTCCTTTTGCCTGGTTCCATTCAGCAGCCTGGTACCCACCTGGTACCTGCAGAATACCTGCCTGTTGGTAACTTGTCTGCATCTGCTGTAGTCCACGTTTGTTATTTCCCCTTTGTTGATTTCTACCCCCAGCCTGGTTCCCTGTCATATTCTGGCCCTCATTTACTGGCTGGGTGCTCCAGGAATCATCAAAGAATCCAGATGCTTCTTGTTGAAAGCTCTGAAATCAAACAAATACCTGTAACGTGTCAGAAATGAATATTGAGCACTACTTCTGTCTAAAACACAGCAGCGGTGCAGTATGCAGAACAGGAGAACTAATGGGCAGATGGTTGGACATTATGGTACCTCATCTCTCGTAGTTAGATGCATAGTACTAAGAACCAGTGCCTTGTTTTTAACTTTCATGTGCTGTTCTGAGATGCAAAAGAGAATTAGTACATGCTTTCCCAGCAGCCTTGTCTATTGGTATCTCCACCATAAAGACCTCTCAATTTTTCCTAAACAAGCCATGTTTTACTAGAAAGTGTAAAAAACTAATACTCAAGGCATTTTTTTTACCATTCTGCATCCTTGTTTGCATCAAAGCCCTTGCTGTTCTGTACAGAAACAAAGAGAGAGCAGTGAATTTACCTCTCTACTATCTGGCATCCTCCTCCGCTTAGCCTGTGGCTCCACCCACTGCATCGGCTCTGGGGCAAACTGTGGATGGGGTGTCTCTTGGTCAGATTCATGCAACTGCTGCAAGATAAGTGCTCTCTTCCTCTCCAGCATGTCCACTTTCTCCTGGATGATGGAAACCTCGTTAACCTCTCCTCCAAAATCACTGGGATGCCTGCCTGCCCCAGGCATCCCTCCTAGGAAGCTCTTCGGTGGTGGGGACCCGAAAATCGTTTCCCAGTTCGACAAGAGCTGAGCGACGTCCTGGACCAGGTTGGCAGGATACAGTGGCCCTTGAGACTCGCCGCGACTTGTCTGAAACTCCCCTTCTTCAAGAGCTTGAAGAATCCCCAAGGCCTGGTCAGGGGAGAGGCCTAGCTCCTCGACGTTTCTGGAGAGGAGATGGTTGCGGAGCTGGGAGGCTTCTTGAGGGGATAGATTGGTCAGAATGTGCTTGATGTCATCTGGTCCCATTCTGCTCCTGCCGTTGGTCCTTGGTTGGATGAAAGTCTGGATTGGTTTGGTATCAGAGAGAAAAAAAAGATAAAAGAAATTAAATCTAAGTTCAATTGTTGAGGAGCCCAAGGGATGTTTGTTATAGTCAAATGTTCATCAGTGGTGTTCCTCTACTGATTGGAGGAGGTACAAAAAAGAGCTTGATCGGAAATTTTTAAAAATGGCATCCCAACACATCCTCATTGCTCATTTTGTAACAGCATTTCCCTCCCCCTTGTATTCCAGTCCGACTCCTATCACCCCAACCACTATACCAGGCACGGATCCAGAGCCCCCCCCCCCCGTTCAGACTCAAAAAGTTTTGGTTTTTTTGGTTACAAAATATATTTAAAATAATCTGAACCCCCCCCCCCCCTCTCGGGACAATTATGAAAATTATACTGGTAATAATGTCAACCTGTGCACATCACCTGGACAGAGCCAGCTGGGGTACGGGGGCATTTGTACACTTATTCTGTAATATAGTGTTCTTGATCGGCGGATTAGAACAGCGCCCCCCCCCCCCCCCCCCCCAGGATCCGCCCCTGTAAACCTACAAACAGTGTTGTAGTACATGTACTTGTACTCGTACTCGATAACATTTTTTGGTACTCGTGACTCCTGAAAATGTACTCGTACTCGCAAGAAATAAATAACCCGTACACATACTCGTATTCTTGCAAACGGTCTTCTCCCGCAAAGAGCTCTCCATGCAGAAAAGAAAAACAGTTTCCTACTGTTTTGGAAGATTCTGCATTTGTTTGGTGCTTAGTTTGAACATAGAGCTACAAACCCATTCTCTATGGTTTGATAGCCAAAAAAGCATGCAACACATTGGGGAAGAAGTTTGCTCCTACCTGGGTGTTGCCAGGATTTTTTTCGGGGAGGGGGGGGGGGGGGGGAGCACTATTTTCCCCTCAAAATCTTTGTACATTCTCTAGTATATTCTCAATTTATCATTTTTTGAGGGTGGGCGGGGACATTTTCCCACCCCATCCCCATTGACAACCCTGCAGACGCCCATTTTGTTAAATGCGCATGAAATTAATAGGAAATATGACTTCACACCTCTTTTGTTTTTCTTTCCCACATGTATTTGTCTTCCTTTTTTTTTTTGCTTTTCAAGGGGGGGGGGGGGGGAGCCAATCCTGGCGACGCCCATGACTCAGACTTGTATTCGTGTACTCTCACTTACACGGAAATGTACAGTCGAGTCTCGTTATAACAAACTCGTTCGGACCTAGCCAAATTGTTTGTTATATCAAAATTTTGTATTAAGAGGAACATCAGTCCCATTCATTAATTGTGCACATAAATGCACAGTCGGGACCAAGGCTTTATGTTTGTTATAACCAGAATTTTGTATTACAGAGTTTGTACTAACGAGAGTCGACTGTACTCAACTACACCATTTCCCCCCAAATATCTAACCATCCACCTCGTATTCACTCCAACCCTTTTTTAGGAAATTATATATCTCTTCTTTTTAACAAATTTTAAAACAAATTATCCCTCTGACTTATGCTCCAAATTTTCTGTGTCATCAAAATGAACCGCTTTGGCCCTCCCCCACCCCACGTACCCCCCTTTGACGGGTACAATTTCCTCAAAGTTATTGTACACATAGGCCTCAATCCTGGGTGGATGGGAAGGATATATCCTGACCCCAACTCCCTGCTATTTGAGAAAGGGGACGGGTCATTGGATCATTTTACCAGATTTGTATGGTACGTAAGAAATAAAAATGTGTACGGAAAACAAAGTGCAAAAAGCTGCACTGTTTATGATGTAAGGTTAACGGATATAATTGGACCAGTTTACATAAGATGAACATTTCATGTGGTGCCCCCCCCCCCCCCCCTTCGAATACGGCCAGGCAATTTTATGGTTTTCGGTCAATAATCAATTTCAGTGGAAAAAAAACCCAGGACAATGGAAGGCAACAAGGTGATTTTTTCACATATAAAAAAGAGAAAACACATCATGAATTTTTCCTCCGAGATTAATCTTCGCTATCCACCTTAAGCCTTCCACCTCCCATCCAGGCTTACAACCCCCCCCCCCTAAAAACCTCAAACCAACAGTCTTGATAATTTTACTGTTTAATAAAATGCAACAGTGGTGACTTTTTGTCAACACTGAATGACTAGCAGCTTGGAAAATTCAAAAATCTTAGAACACAATAAAATTAGGAAGATTTAGACAACTATACTTGTATGTACATTGTACATGCATTGGGATTTTTGGGGTAAATTGCCAACAACATCCCTGCCTAACAATAGGTGGGGAAGTCAAATCATAATCCCTGTGGCCCCCCCCCCTTGGATAATTAAGTGCATGCTGTAGTGCAAAGGCCACACATAGAAACTGTTTAAATGTCTTAATGTTCGAATTGACCCCCCCCCCCCCCCCTTGTAGACCTTTATGTACCAGTATCTGGACAGTGGGTGAAGGAAATATGGACCCCTAAAAATAGTAACACGAAACACAAACAGCGGAAAACGAGTGGAACAGATGAAAGGATGATCCTTGGACAGTAACCAACAACATGAAGGGGATCTGTATTACAATTGTGTGCATGTGCATACATTGTGTAGTATGCAGTGGTTTCTGGTCATATCCTCCTTTATTTACTACATGTAATCTAGTTACACACTGTTTTATTAAAAGGTCTGGTCTTACATGTACATGTATATTGTGTTTTAGTAACTTCTTAGTGATGCACATTTCAGCTGCTTTATTCTCACTTTCATTGTTGTTTAACGGAACCATTTATGATTCATTAGCATACGGAGAAGTACTAGTACTTGGTACAGTCGAGTCTCGTTAATACAAACTCGTTCGGACCAAGCTAAATTGTTTTGTTATATCAGAATTTTGTATTAAGAGGAACATCAGTCCCATTCATTGTGCACATAAATGCAAAGTCAGGACTAAGGCTTTATGTTTGTTATAACCAGAATTTTGTATAATTAACAGAGTTTGTACTAACGATAGTCGACTGTACTTGGTTAGTTTCCTCCTGAAACATCCTCTAGGGACCTCGACTAGGAGGTACGTATAATCTTCTTCCCCCAAATCTCACTTGGCCCAGCATTCAAAGCTAGGCTACCATTTATCAAAATGGATTTAGGTCTCCCAGTGACTGGAGGTCAATAGTCTCACAGCCAACGTGCATTGTATGTGGGACTTCATAAGTCCCATCGAACAGTGAATGACATATTGCTCAATGTCATAACGAGGAATTTATCCATCCTCGGGGAGTCATTCTACTGCAAAGAAACTATCGTTCAACGAAATGACTGCTTTTAAGCATGACAATTGCACTTGTGTATACCATGTGAACTTAACTGACCACAGGTCAGTACCGGTAGGCTCATACAAGTAGCTTGTACAGGTACATGCTAGTTGATGAGCATACAATGTTTGCCCTTGGGATCAACAAAGGCAACCTGATGCAGCTCCCACCACACCAAAAGGAACGTTTTGGCTTTTGTCAATGGTGACAGCAATCTCTTCAGCACCAAGCCTTTTCAGAATTAAAAAGGTTCATGAGTTATGATCTTTGCACTTTGACAAGATATATCTTGTGGCACATAATTTGCAGACATGCAACTGTACTGAGCAGCATTAGGCTAGCAGTAAGCCATGCGACTGTTGGACAATGGTAGGCTTGTTCTCAACTGTTTAACAGGCAGGTCAACAATCATCCGAGTCACTGAAATATGGTTTGTACAAATTAAGGACACTATTATGTCATACTTGTTGCACTACATGTATGTAGCAGCAAATGGCAGTGCTGCCTACTCATGACAGTATTAGGAAACGGTGCCTTTTTTTGCACTCGTTATGCACACACATATTTCACAGAGAACACAGTGTGTTCACATATCACAGATGTACGTGCGCATATTGTGCAGAGTACATGCTACCAATGTCATAAAGCTGAAGCATCTTCTTCACATGATGAGAGGGCATGAGAATGTGCATGGATGGAGTGATGGCACTCAGTAACCATCACTTATGGTACATTTTGTCATTTTCATCGTTGCGAGGATAGGTGCGTATGGGCTCCGTGTGCAATAAGACAGGGTGCCTATTTGACACTTTCGAGAGCCCTGTGGATGGGACACACTCTGTGCGGGTATGAGCTCCGCGCGCCAACGAAAGAGGGAGCCCTTTTACCTAGCAACGACGTCCCATGTGCGGGACATTGAGCTGGTTGACGCGCACCGTTTCTTGTGTGTGACGCACGTACACCAGCGGATTTGTACTATATACACGCAGTGGTACGGCTGCGCGTCGCGGCAAAATTGCAGTCAGGCAAGATGGCGTCGTTCAGTCACCCCCAACTGTACTTTCTTTGCCGGTGAGGGGGTACTTGTGAACGGAGCGGATAGCACAAAGTACGCACGACTATGCAACTTCTTCTGAACATGCACAAAGCCACAGTACTGTCTTCGTGTCAGCATCAGGCGTTGTCCGCAATGCGTTCTTATGTTTCCTCAGTGGTCTCCCCCAACTCTCCTTTTCTTGCAGTTGAGGGGGTACTTTTGCACAGAACCCATAGTAGCTATGTATGATAAAATGTACATAATCTGACCAGCAAGTTAGTGGTCTGCATTCATCTGCTCATATCCAGGTTTCTGTATAGCCCAACTGCTGCATGCACGTGCAGCAAGCTAAACCTGAAGATTAATGCTCCAACCGAGGCATGTAGTTAAAGTATGGTCATAATACCATTACCAGGATTCATGTACTCAGCAGAAATGCTTGCCTCACAATTGATCTAACCATGCTTATTGAGATACATGTAATTGCCACATGCACAACAAGGTTTGTATTTGTACATGTATACAATGTACACGGTATTTGAACTTTAACAGAACTCAACCCATCAAACCCAAACAGCATGGTTTTTTTTTTTTTTTAAATCTGTCAGGATGGGAACAGTACCCCTAAAACTGACAGTCTTTTGTCCACAATCAAAGTTGGGAATATGTGTGTGCAGTTTCCAATATTGTGTTGGAATTTGCCAGGATGGGTATGGTTCCTAGTAAATCATGCTAGGGCATTAGGGCTGTGCAATACATCTTAGCATCAGAATCCTTTCAATCGCTTCCAATTGCTCCAAGATGACGAGAATAAACCTGTTCATTCAACATGTACATGTACCAGTTGGAATCACCAGACATATTTGCAAGCTATTGCCAGCTTCTGTTGGCTTTAGCTAGGTGGCAAGAGAACATGTTATGGAGAGTCATGGTGCACCTGTCGGCAAAATTTTAAATCTGCACAGACCAAAGGGCAGACTAAATGGCAAGAATATTATGGTATAACCATACTTACAGCAAAATAACCAAAGGCAATTTGTGGAACTGAAATACTTTGACCACATACATGTACATGTACAATGTATTATCTTCTTCAACAGGCTCCTCACCCCAGTGGAGAGATCTCAATACAGTAAAGAGTCATGCTCAAGGACACTTAACCCTAACTCCCTAGGCATTTTTGTGAGGATGCAACCTCATCCTGCAAAATCCTCCAACTGCCTCCATGTAAAAATTGTAAATCCTCCGCTATTTCTTGAATGTGGTCCTTGGAGGGGTGACCACTGCCTGAATCCTGCAAAATCCCCCAGCAATCACTGTCAATATGTTGAGACAGAGCCAGTTACATCCTGGAGCAGTGCGGAGGATTTCTAATCTACATGTAGGCCTATTTAAATGCACGGCTGAACGTACTAACAACACAAGGTCCGACCAAGGACCTTTACACAGTGCATCCTCCAAAATCAGCCACACCTTTTTGCTATATACACTGTAGCCTCAATCCTTCAAATCCCCCATTTTGCAAAAAGGATTTTGGAGGATTTGGGAAGGTTAGGGTTTATAATCCTTCCGTCACAGTTTTTCCAAATGAGGAAGTTAACACCTCAATAGATATGTGATGCTAACAATCATGCTTCAGGCACCTATAAACCAGGTCAACACAGCATGACACAACAGCTCGTTATGGAATTATCCAGATTTGGCCATATTAAAGCACCGCACAAGGGTCGAACCTTGAGTGCTGGGGGAAAAATGCAAAATACAATCAGGCCAGCTTTACTCACTTTTTAGCCGGCAAACTTCTCCAAAAAATTTCATTCAGCAAAGAGAAGGTCCACAGTATTTCACAAAGTTTAAAGACTCAATTCAAGTAGAAACCAAATTCTGAATGTAGGCCTACAACTATTCCCCATGACGAAATAGGCTACATCATCACGATTCATGCATAATGTAAATGTGCCCCTTCTGACTAGCCCTGGTGGACTCCCTTTCCTCCCTACGTTAAGTCGTATTGCAATGAAGACTTCGTCCAACCTGGGCTACCCTTCTGACCACCCTTGGTGAACACCCTCTCTCTCTCCCGTTGCTCTTATGCCAGAATTGGTTTCTTGCAACGTACACCTACAGATACAGATACAGATACAGACCAGTGTCAACAATATACAGTAGTACATGCATACTACAGGCCTTGCACGTACATGTACCCATGACTCTATGAGGCATGACATGTACCGAGTACAGTCTCCAGCCAAAAGGCCCAAAGCAGGGAAAATAACATGATTACAATCATTAAAATACAATTCAACAAAGTCCAACAAAACGTATGTTGGTTTATTCTGCAAACCCACGAGCAACGCTGTGGATTGTACAGTACAACACGAGCTTTACACTCGACTCACGACCGCACAGGTCGATGGCGCGCTTCCGACTTGAATGCGAGCCAAGCGCACAACGAACGTACGTCATTTGTTTGAACGTCGACTCCGGGTGCGGCCGTGCTTTTTACATTGTAATATGCACGCGTATTGTTTGTGAGGCATGGCAATTTTTATGCTCAGGAAATGTTACAAAACGTGTGCCTTATCGTGAATTCTAGGCACAAAAACACCCCTCTGCCTCATCTATAGTATCCAAGCATGCATACCTGCTTTCGATATCGACATCCAAACTTTGAACACCGTTTAACTTGTCGATTTACTTGACACACAAATTTGCAATGTCCCAACTGGAGCTAGCTGAAGGCGAGGGAAAGGAACAATTTATGTTGGAACAGCGCCCTCAAACAGGCGCTTATGTTGTGCCCATTCTTGAAAATCACGCATTCTCGAGAATGGGCATGCACATTCTTGAGAATGTGCAACTGGATCCTTGCTCAATCTTGGCAAAAAATAACTCTTCCAGATTGAGCGCACATTCTCGAGAATGCGCGACAAGATAACGGTCTTGTCGATGCCGAGCACCGGCTGCGCTTGGCAAGTCTAGCTGAATCCTCGTTCACTGATTCTCAATAATTATACTGTTGCAACGCAAGGCTCTGAAAAGTAGAGTGGATATGATAAGTAAAGGCGTATTAATATGGGGGGGGGGGGGACCGGGAAAATATAAGAGACATAATAATACTAGTGCAAAGAATTCTGATTTTTGGGATAATAAAAGCAAGGGGGGGGACGTAAGAATGAAGAATGTGAAGAATGAGAATGAATACTGCGACATCCCATAGTGCTAATGCTATTTCCCATTTAAATTGCCACCAATTTATTGTTCACATCCCACCATAACGTCGCAGAGCTGGATTCTATCTAGTCAAAAGAGCAATTTTGGCAGCTTCTGGACATCGTTTTTTTTTTTTGTGGCACGCATATGATACATGCAGGGACTTGTAACTTGTCTAGCCTAAACAAAGCACTTCCCAGACTAGTTCCCAGTCCTCCGTTATTACAAAACTTCCCATAGTGGGCAGAAAAAAGCAATAATAACAGGTTTAATTTGATTCAAATTATCGTAATTATACGAGTACAGAAGCATAGCACATTTTCTTTCCTCTTTATATGAATTGTTTCCCTTTTAACCGCTATACAATTCATTTAACATAATTATGTCGTGCAATGTTTGTTAAGATTGGGCAAAATTCATAAATTGTGCACGTGATATTCCCAACCAATCTTAAGAATGAGCGCTCATTCTTAAGAACGCGTGCTCGTTCTTAAGAATGGGCGCTCATTCTTAGAATGCGCGCCCATTCTCGAGAATGTGCATGCCCATTTTCGAGAATGCGTGATTTTCAAGAATGGGCACAACACTTACACTGTTTATCACGTGGTCACATGCATACAAATTAAAAAGGGGTGAAATTCCCGTAAATTTAACCACGTGTCAAAGCTCATTCGTGGTTCACAGTGTATCCTGATCTTCACGGACATCAGAGTGCGTATGGGGATTTTGGTTCAACCTCAAAAACTGGATAAACAATGGTAAGAAAACACAGAATCATCTTAATTGTGGCAGGCCCATTTTCCGGACAGAACTACAGTATGCAGTACAAACTACAATAGCGCGTAGCGCACTGCAGTGCAGCTACATACATGACATACAATCATGGAGGAATAATCCATGATACAATAGTCAATACATGCACACTTGAGAGATTTTATAATACAAATAAATGCCAAACAAACAGAAACACAGCAACAATCGATGTTTTTAACGGTTTGTACAAAATATGAATCGATGTTTGTTGGGGTTTGTTGAGTGAAGAAAAATAGAATTGAAAATAACAACAAACTCAAAGTATGACATTTGATAGGCGCATATAAAGAATATATAAAACCAACTAATCCTAGGCAAACAAAACCTCAAATTGCATTTAACATTTGGAGTGACTATCACCAGACCATATCCGAGTGTTAAAAAAGGTGTGTTTTTTTTTGGGGGGGGGGGGGGTTAATGGTACATGTACACACGTAGTGGTGGTGATGCTTCTATAACCCACCAACCTTAATAAATCTTTTAATCAATTAATTGTAAAATTAATTTCTTGTAAAAATGTATCCCCTTATTTGATTTAAATTTTCTTCACTCTTGTGTTTCATTGGAGTGACCAAATAAATATTACTTTTCAATGAAAACAAAATTGCAACGTCTGAAGTGTGGCTTACTTACAAGTGTCTTTGTCGTTCCTACTTGCCCCAGAAATGAGTGAGCAAACTCCGCCCCTCCTTGTGGCCTTAGTCTCAGGGGCTCTGGCTGGGACCGTAGTTGATGCCTCCCTCTTCCCCTTGGACACAATCAAGACACGCCTACAGAGCTCAGCTGGATTTCTCAAGGCTGGTGGATTCCGTGGGATTTACTCTGGCCTCGGCCCAGCGGTCCTAGGTTCAGCGCCAACAGCCGGCGTGTTCTTTTGCACCTATGAGTTCACTAAACAGCTAAGTTCATCGCTTGGGTTGACTGGTAGCTCTTGCGAACCGATCACACACATGATTGCAGCATCATTGGGCGAGGTCACTGCCTGCTTCGTCCGAGTACCAGTCGAGGTGGTGAAGCAACGGGCCCAGGCTAGTCGAAACGCCAGCGTTAGTATTCTCAAATCGGTCTTGCGGAATGAAGGCGTGAGAGGGTTGTACCGTGGCTACCTCAGCACCGTCGTCCGTGAAGTTCCATTCTCCATCATCCAGTTCCCATTGTGGGAGATGCTCAAACTGAGATGGGGACAGCGGCAAGGGAGACCTGTGGATGCTTGGCAGTCGGCCGTGTGCGGAGCGCTGGCCGGTGGCATCTCTGCTGGGCTGACGACTCCACTGGATGTGGCCAAAACAAGAATCATGCTGGCTGCCAAAGACAGTGCGACGGCCAAAGGGAACATCGCCAGTGTGTTGAAAGACATCAAGAGGACCAGTGGAGTGCGTGGACTGTTTGCCGGGGTCGTCCCGAGAGTTTTGTGGATCAGCATTGGGGGAGCCATATTTTTGGGTGTTTATGAAAAGGCCAAGATATCACTGCTGAAACTAGAATCTTATGAGAAGAGTCCAACAACAAGTTGATATAGAATTATGTTAAGTTACAAAATAAACGTTCGAGGCATCTTTCTTTCATTGACAATGGAACAATTTTCCCAGACTTACAAACTTTGTCATTTGCTGTAGAAGTGATACTGAACATTTGTTAATTTAAAAACTAATTATTTAAACGTAATTTAGGATTAGTGATTATGAGGTCACATTGTGAAACCCTGCTTTGTAGCAAGTGAGAATTTCCTGGTGTACAAAGTTACAAACGACACGGATGTCTGCACTTGTACTTTTTCAGCTATGAAATCCACAACAGATGTTAATTGGGCCTGGGCCGACTGAAAGAATTGAAATAAAGAGTGCTGCTAATGTGACATAACGATTACAGAGTGTCAGTTATTTTCCTTTCCCCGTCTCCTTCCCCCCCCCCCCCCCCAACAACAAAAATGCATTATCTTTATATTCACTGGTCTCATAGTTTATTTACATGTTGGTAAAAATACGATTATCCACTCTTTACAAGATCATGGCTTTTTAAAAGCATTCTAAATTTGTGGGCAGAAGTCATGCTGTGAGCAGTGATGTATCCAGATTAATTGTCAACGGGCACAAAATGACTGTTTGTTTTCTTTGAAAATGGCCCAAAACTGTTTAGTATTTTGAATGTTTTCACTGTATTGCCAAAACTTCTTAGCAGTTGCTTCAAATTAGGGCACAAAAGTATGTCCTAAAATTTTGCCCCCCCCCCTCCGTTTTTATGCCCCGCGGCGAAGCCGAAGGGGCATACTGTTTCCGCCTTGTCCTTCCGTGGGTGGGTGGGTGGGTGGGTGGGTGGGTGGGTGGGTGTGTGTGTGTGTGTGTGGGTGTGTGTGTCCGGACAAATCTTGTCAGCACGATAACTTAAGAAATACTTAACATATGAACTTCAAATTTGGTCTGTGTATTGTTCTTGGTAATCCTAAGAGGCCTATTGCATTTGGGGCCGAAAGGTCAAGGGTCAAGGTCACAGTGGCTGAAACAATAGAAATTTTGTCAGCGCGATAACTTGAGAAATACTTTACATATGAACTTCAAATTTGGTTTGTGGATTGTCCTTGGCAATCCTGAGAAGCCTTTTGCATTTGGGGCCGAAAGGTCAAGGGTCAAGGTCACAGTGGCTAAAACAATAGAAATTTTGTCAGCGTGATTACTTGAGATATACTTTACATATGAACTTCAAATTTGGTTTGTGTATTGTCCTTGGCAATCCTAAGAGGCCTATTGCATTTGGGGCTGAAAGGTCAAGGGTCAAGGTCACAGTGGCTGAAACAATAGAAATTTTGTCAACGCGATAACTTGAGAAATACTTTACATATGAACTTCAAATTTGGTTTGTGGATTGTCCTTGGCAATCCTGAGAAGCCTTTTGCATTTGGGGCCGAAAGGTCAAGGGTCAAGGTCACAGTGGCTAAAACAAAAGAAATTTTGTCAGCGTGATAACTTGAGATATACTTTACATATAAACTTCAAATTTGGTTTGTGGATTGTCCTTGGCAATCCTAAGAAGCCTATTGCATTTGGGGCCGAAAGGTCAAGGGTCAAGGTCACAGTGGCTAAAACAAAAGAAATTTTGTCAGCGCGATAAGTTGAGAAATACTTTACATATGAACTTCAAATTTGGTTTGTGGATTGTCCTTGGTAATCCTAAGAAGCCTTTTGCATTTGGGGCCAAAAGGTCAAGGGTCTAGGTCACAGTGGCTAAAGCAATCGAAATCTTGTATTTATTCTGAGATCATAGGGATTAGGGATTAATTCATATAAAACCTACAGAAGACACTAATGCTGTCAATGAACATTCCATGTGACCAAGGTACATGTAAGTTGATGTTAAAAGAGTGGTGTTATGTCATGGGAACAGTCACGGTTGCGGGGCATTTGTGTTTGTAAACACACCTGACTTGTTTGTACCTTCCTTTGTAAATGTGAAATTCATGCTCCAAGTTCCAAAACACTGATGTACGCATACATGCACTGTGTTCTCGCATCACATTCCCCAGAGTAGTTTCAGACATGAATAAAAAGACCTTGTATGCTTGAATCCAAACTTTAGCAGAAAAGAACAGATGAAGGGGGCTGCAGTATTCTGGAATGTAAATGTACACCTTGTGTATATCCAAACAAACATCGCTGATTGCACATTAAAAAAAAAAGTATTGAAATGGTGAATACAGGGCATGCTGAAAAATAACACTGGCATCAAACCTGTTTCAAGGTCTGGATATTTAGCTTCTCAGAAGTACTACATAATTATGGCAACATTTTTTTTTTAAGCTGAAACTACATGTATTCTTATTTGGGGGTATTTTGCAGGCAGTGACTCTCCACACTGATGTTGGTGACATCAAACTCGAGCTGTTTTGCGAACAGGTGCCGAAAGCATGTGAAAATTTCCTGGCATTGTGTGCAAGTGGTTACTATGACAACACATTGATACACAGGTATGTGATCTGCATTTTCAGTAATAGTTCACATAAATCTGGCTTCAAATCCTGAAATTTATATTTCGGAGATACAAATAAGGGTGTTTTTTTTTCATTAAAAAAATCTCCTGTTTGTATAACGCCTATTTAAGAGAACAGGTGTAGTTAATACGGGACTGTTAAGTACACATTTTTGTACTCTAGTGACCCCAATTACAATCCCTTTGCTAAGGGATACCTTGATCAGACCCATTGCCTGAATGCATTCATTTCAGCAACCATTTTCTGGAATCAAGTTAAGGATGTGACATTTACACTTTCGAGTGTTTAAACGCTACCCCCAATAAAAATAAATTAATAAAAACCATGATTATTAGCATTGACTAAACAACAATTTAATTTATTAACTTGTGTTTTTTTCTTCTTGCCTTTCAGAAATATCAAGGGGTTCATGGTTCAGATGGGAGACCCATTGGGTACCGGCAAGGGAGGAAACAGCATCTGGGGACGAAAGTTTGAAGATGAACTTGTAGATAATCTCAAGGTACTCTGACCACTTATTACTCATTTATGACAATTTATGCAGGTAAAAGAGGTACAATGTATATGCAGCGCAAGTAGGGAAGGGGAGGGGGCGTATTGCCCCCTCCTCCACCCACTTTTTGAATTTTCCTGTGCAAACCCACTTTTGGATAGCCTGCTACAGAACTGTGCTGTGCCTTTTCACTTTCAGAAATGCCCTGCTGCCATTGAAGAGGCGTTGGATGGGAACAATGCCATTTTTGGGAATAGAGGATCTATATTGAAGTTTTAGTTTAAGATCCCAATAACACTTCATGAAGTTCAAAACTGGCCTTTAGCAATGCAGTTTGATGAAAGCAAAACGTATTATTGTATTTTAACTTGACAGAAAAGCTGGAAAAGGCACAGAAGGAGGTTTGATAAATGAGGGCACAGGGCCACTTCATTAATAATTGGTTTTGTTTCATCTTCCTTGCAGCATAATATTCGAGGTGTGGCATCGATGGCAAACAATGGCCCAGACACGAATGGTTCTCAGTTCTTCATAACCTATGCCAAACAACCTCATCTCGACATGAAATATACAATCTTTGCCAAGTGAGTTACTTTCTCTCTCATACTACACATTGATTTTCGAATGTAAAAGTGATAATGCTCCAAAGGGTAGTTTTCATTTTGTTTAGAAAACGTTTCTTTTTGTCTCCTGAGCACAAACACAAGACGGTTTGAGTAGTAAAAATTTCTCTCTGAAAAATTTTCTTTTTCTTTTCTGCTGAACCTGAAATTCCACTGAAAATGTTCGTTTATGCCAAGTTATTATTATTTGCGTAAGCAACCTTTCTTGCCTCCGTGAATATCCATTGTGTTCTCTATGTACATGTAGGCTGGGTCTGAATAGACCTCATGCTCAGCGGCCATCTTTTATTTTAATTCAGTAACAATGAATGCACAAAAGCTTCACTCATGCATATCCCGGCAGAAGAAGGCATTGCCCTCTAAGATGGCTGCTGCGCATAAAGTCTATTGAAAATGGTAGTCTACTGCTAAAGGTTTTCAAACAGGTGTTCAGTGTTTCTCCTTTAGAAGCAGAAATGTTCTTCCAATGGGTGTGGCTTGACTAAATATTGGGGAGTTGTTGTTTAAGATATGTCTACTACATGTTTATGTCTCATTTATGACCTTTTGTTTCTTTGTAGGGTGATTGATGGCTTAGAAACCTTGGATGACCTGGAGAAGCTGCCAGTCAATGAGAAGTCATTCCGGCTACTAGCCGACAAACGGATCAACAGTGTCACGATACATGCCAATCCAATCGCAGATGCTGCATTATAGTCTGAACTCATCCACACATCAGCAAAACACTTGACTGCAGACTTAATGTTCAGTACATTGAGGTAGTTATAAGACAGTGGTGTAACATGCTGGACTTCATTGGATTCTGCTGGTTTTGTCCGGTGCCCCGACTTGTTTGTGCATAATCAGGATGCATCGCCAGGATACCACTGACTTGACATGTACGGGTGCACGCCTGTAAATAGGCCAAAAATCCGCCCGCCGAGCTCATGAATCAAAGTTATGCCCTCAAAATATTCTGTATTAGAGAGTTTTGAGAGCCATAAAATTGGGGAATTGAAGAGATATGGTAATGAACCTCTGGCCCGGACTTGGGCTTCCAATTCTGAGCATTTTGGATGCTACTGGGCTCGAAAATGGCGCTACTTGTATTTTGCCATGTTGTGGAGGGATCGTTTTTCAAGATGGCTACCGTTCCGCTTTGGGGAAAATAGGGGTTGTCTTCTTTGAGTAAGAATATCTCGAAAAGTCAATGGTCCACCCACCCAAAAATAAAAAAGAAAATTAAAGATGACATGTTGATCATCATTTTTCTGTGCAGCTTGAATAGCTGTGAGAGTTCTGAGTCTTTTAAAAAGAATTTTGAAGTATGCGCATTTAGCACTAGTGTCTATGGGAATTTTATTGCAGGGTTGCACCCGTACATGTACATGTACTTGAGCCATTCATTCACGAGTTATTCATAAAGAAGCGATTGAGATCATTGCGCAGTAACACTGGGTTATCACCAACAGATGCCCGAATATTTAGAAAAGTGTTATTAATATTTCTACATTTTGTAAAGAGTTTTTAAAAGAGAAAGCGTGAACTTCAGACTTGTGTTGGTACATTCTTTTTTAGTAATTGCTTTAATCCTTTGTTTCTTGAGATGTCTATTCGTTTTACAAAATTTAATTAAATGTCCTACCACTTTCTAAACACTGATTCAAGACTTGTTACTACTGCAGCACAAACATAAGGTATAAATTGTAACAGAAATTTATGAATACATCTACATGTACTTAACATTAAATGAAAATATCTTTCACAAGGCTATTGCAGCTAACTACTTTTCGAAAGAGCGTCTTCTGAAATCTACATGTAATAATAGCTCTAACATGGCAATCGCAAATAACTGTGAACCTTAAAGGTATTTAAAAATGCATGCATTACACAACTTGGCCCTATGGTAACATTTATGTCATAATGACAAGAAATACAATAAATGGGGCCACTTACATGTATATACTGCACGTTAGCAGTTTTTCCAATTGTTGTGATTTTTTTGTTAAATACGTGAAACCACCAAAGAAGAATTTTAACACGTGAATGGACATGCAGCCTTTCGCTAAAGATAATTTGAGTTGATTATTTATATTGCTTTTTGGCATTATCCTCAAATTTCTATCAAAAAGCGGACGGAAAACTTAGCTAACTTTTTCCGTCCATTTTTGATGGAAATTTGAGGGTGATTTCAAAAATAAAAAAGAAGGAAAGAAATGACTCAACACATATTACATGTATTATAAGCCTACATGTCCATTCACATTTCAAAAACTTAGGTGGTTTCAGGTATTGTAAAAAAATTAACCATTGGAAAAACTGCAAACGTGGCAGATGCAAAGTGGTTCCCTTTATTGGGTTTCTTGTCTAATGCTGCCGAGTTGAGAACGCTTCAGAACAAATTAAAAATGAGGTCATGATAACCGCTAAAACTGGTTAGAAAATTAAACTCGTTAACTATTTCATGCCGACATGGGCTGAAAGCAGATCTCTTCCTGCCTTGCAGATCTGTGAAAAGCACCTAAAATCACGGCAGTCAGAAATATTTACAAACAAAAATGGAACTTTCAGACTTTGAGTTGATTTAAAAAACCCCACCTTTGATAAATTAAGAGACGCGCTAAACAGTTTTGTAAGTAATTTTTCAATCCCCGATCAATAATTTGAAGACTGAAACTTGTATTTTCTCATGAATTTTATGACATTTTATCAGACATGTCAGAAATACACTGTGCTGTATATGTTACATGTATACAGCACAAATGAACTACATATTATGTAGCTCATTTCATAGTTCATGTAGATTTCAATGATCTGTGTTAATTAAAGACAATGACACGCTTTGCCAGTTGGGCCATTTCATTGCAAGCGATATTCCTGGAAAATTGCACTACCCATGTCAGGTAGATTTCAAGAAAAATAATTTGAGTGTCTCACAATTTAATAGTACTGTCTAAATTTGGTCAAGATTTATCAATACAATGGCCATTCACAAATGATCTTTCATTTAAATAATATCCACGGATAATTCAATTTACAAAATTGTACAATACAAATATTTCAAAATATACAAAGATAAACAAATGTTTACATAAAAAAAAACATGCATGTTTAACGCTAACTCCCTTGGCATTTTTGCTAGGATGCAACCTCAATCCTGCAAAATGTAAAAATTGCATACGGCCTCAATAAAATCCTCCAAAATTATCCGTTATTTCTTGACTATGGTCCTTGGAGGGTTGACCACTGCCTCAATCCTGCAAAATCCTCCAGCAGTCACTGTCAATATGTTGAGGCAGAGCCAGTGACATCCTGGAGCAGTGCGGAGGATTTCAAGGATTTGTTTAGACCAAAATTTATGCACGGCTGAGCATTCATAAACAACACATGGTCTGGCCTAAGACCTTGACACAGTGCATCCTGCAAAATCTGCCACACAGTTCGCCACACAGCCCCAATCCTGCAAAATCCTCCATTTTGCAAAGAGGATTTTGGAGGAGTTGGGAAGGTTAGGGTCAATACTGAAATACTCAAGTTCCTACACATACACATTGTGACATCAAGTTTAACTAACAGTCATTTGTAATTAATTTCTGTTGTAACTATTTAAACAAAAATAGATTTTCATGATTTTTTTACAATTGAAGTACATACATTGTAGAGATGATGAAATCCCAAAATGTTTTCCATTCTGGCATTGTTCTGCTCCCATGTCATGCACATCTGATTTCAATGAGTATTAAATGTGTGACTAAACATTCCAAACTGATTCATTGACCCATCTTGTATTTTTGTTTTGTTTTTAAATCGCCGAATTAACATTGAAACACTTGTGACACCTGTTCTCAATTTGTGACAATTCTTATCGGAACATTGATAGAAATTTGTTCAGTTACAAAAAGTACAAAATTAGTTAAAATTAGAGAATATATTGACTATGATCACTGATGTAACCAATTCATACTATTAAGGCTAAACAGAAATAGTTCTGTTTCCGATTACATGGCACTTGAAAAAAGGGTTGGTAGGGAAATGCTTTTTTTTTTGACAATTTTTTTGTGTACGATAATGTGGAGGTGTCTGTGTGTAGTCAAGGGTAAAATGTAGTAATTGATTGTTATCAGGTTTTTTTCCCTAAGGTCTCCCCCCAAAAAAATTACGGTAGGGGCTGTCAAAATAACTGGAAGCAGAACTAAACATTTTTTTTGGCCTAAGTCATTATTAAAGTTTCAAGATTTTCCCGTATCATTTTGTTCCTGGCCTAGTCATAAGTCCTTGACATCTTCTAGGCCCAGTGCTCCTCGATTCAGAAAATGAATTCCGTCACCTGGGAGAGGTGACCTTATCAGAGGAAAGATCCACACCAGATACCAGCGAGTACCCAGCACTTCACGCATGTTTTGCCTCCATCCTAAGTCGTATGATCGGTCTCTGCTTCGTCGCTTCTCATGAGTGGTCTGCCCACGCAGCGCGATATAGACGTGGTAGCCAAACAAGATGACGAAACCCAGAAATCCTAGCGCACACGTCCCACTCTGGAAAGCGATGAAGTAGGACACAGGCTGAGTGAGGCCAAACAGCCAACCGAAAATTGGTGTGAACGACGCCAGCAGCGTGGTCCACTTTAAGTTTTCCGACACGTTCTCCACGATGTATTCCATGTTGAGATAGTTCGCATACAAGGCCCCCAGGGTGATGTACATGATACAGACCAGGTAATACCGGTGGTTTGCGTAGCCCACACAACTGCCGATGAAGAGGCAGTGGTGATCGCGTTTGAGCACGCAGATGCCACAGTGGCCGCAGTGGTAAGCTCTCGGTGGTGTATTCCGTTGACAGGAATAGCAGTAATCCCAGCCAGGCCTCAACACGGTTGGCAAGAGGGAGGAGCTGGTTGAGAGCTCGGTACTCATCGCCATGAGCAGGTTCCCTAACGTGTTGATGAATAAGAACAGCCCCAGTGCGACGCTCAGCCAATAGTACATGGTGGCCTCGGGATATTTGCGTGGCAGGATGACCAGGAGCTCAAAGAAGCCCTCTACCAATAATTCAGTGACGGCAACCAAGACGGAGAGTTTATCACCCCTGCCCCGGGGTAATATCTGCTTCCATCGCAGTGAGGGAATCATGTTGCACGATGGTCACGGGTAGCCACACTATACTGCAATCTGAAATGATAATTAAATTGAAAAAGATTAGCACCAGCGTTGAACTCCCTTTTAGTTTTCAAACCTTGGCTTTGGGAATTCTCTCAAGTTCCTCTTGTTCAAAGATTAAACTAGTATAACATAATTACAAGTATAAAGAAGCAGGAACTGAGAAAGTACATGTAATTAGGTACAAAATATTTATAGGCCTACTGATACATCCTTTTAGCCTAGGCCTATCAGCTATGCAAGACCGGTGGCAGAGGCTTCCTGTTGCTTTTACACGAAAGGAGAGGCTACTACTACATTGCAAAGCTAGCTAAGACTGAGTTTCAATGCATTCTATCACTGTAGGTGTAGTGGGTTTCATTTAGCAAAGTCCGGTCCATCATCACTTGCATTCTCTCCCCCCCCCCCCCCCCCCCCCCCGGAAAAAAAATATTGCAACCTCTGCCACTTTCGTGAATGTGTACAAAATTGGAAATGTTTCTCAGTCCCAGATTCATGTCTTATCATCATGTTTGCACTGAACATGCTGAAGGACCTTCATTATGATGATGTATGATGAAGAAAAAAGTGACGTCAGGTTGCAACATTTTTTCCTCACTACCCACCTGCTTGCTTAGAAATGCCTCATTTCCATTCTTATAAAGCAAACTGGCCTTCCTTTCATTCAATCATTTGGGTTAAGCAATGTGCAAAAAGACATAAAGGAAAGAACGTATTTATCCAGACGCCACTTTTTTGGTTGTGTACAAAGTCTATGGACGTGAGACACTGTCATGACGGTCACACTGAGTGACAGTGACAAAGTGACATGACTGAGCAAGTCACTGAGTGATTGTTTCGCACTCAATCCAAGCAATGGTCCCAGAATAATAACGATGAAAAAGGTGGCGCCAGGATGCGGAGTACTTGCAGAATACCCCGCCACGCAAAAATTACCCCCTAAAAATAAATGGCTACGCAGTCGGAAAATGTTGCAGAAATGTCCAAAGTACATGTAGATGTCGGGAAGTGGATACGCGGATACAATATACGGGGTGGATTTGAGCGCTGGACATGCTGGAGGGTCTAAAGAGGGCGCTATTTCCCTGTATTAAGAAATGCGGCCAGCAGGGACAACGTGAATTGAATGGGGAGCAGGGGTTAAATAAATCTAAGTCCAAAGTGGGTGCCAGGAAGTGGATACGCGGATACGGGGTGGACTTTATTTTTAGCGGAGGAAAATATTTTTGAGAACGAAGGATCCATATCCATGTTGGAAAATAACGAAGGCAGAGACAACGTGAGTTGAATGGGGAGCAGGGGAAAAACGTCTAAGTCCAAAGTAGGTGCCGGGAAGTGGATACGGGGATACGGGGTGGCACACGCGTGTGGTTTTGGTCCGTTTTCCTTGCTCCATGGGTTGAGCATCCAAGCGTGACTCCGTATCCGCGTATCCGGATACGAGGTGGGATACGTGAGTGGCGGGGTATTTAGCTGGAGTTACCCAGCCCTGAGTTTTATCATTGGGTTGTCTATTAGGGCTGGAGCGAATTTTTCTCGTAACTTGTAGTATAGGCAAATTTTTTTGGAAAATGTTCAATTTTGTCCCCGTTACACACTAATTGCAACTGCAACTCACCCCAAACTTGCCTGGAATAACCATTACACAGGTCCTTGAAGTAAAAAACGATCCACGATGAAGATTCAGCCTACAATTGCAGTGAAAACAGGAGGAATAACCGCTAACTTGACAACCTTGCTGGATTGGCCAGGACCGCAATTGGTTTGTGCACAAAAAAAATTGTGTACAATGAATGGCGGTCGATTAACAGGCACAGAGAGCGATCGCTGTCAACTACTCGTTTTTGCCGGCTGCGCTGGCTGTTGGCGCATGACGTCACGCGGAAGCGTAACACCCGATGACTGTTTCATGCACTAATATAAGGTTTACCACTCGCATCACAGCTTTGGTACTGGAACCGCAACCAATAGTGCATGAAACAGTCATCGGGTGTTACGCTTCCGCGTGACGTCATGCGCCAACAGCCAGCGCAGCCGGCAAAACGAGTAGTTGACAGCGATCGCTCTCTGTGCCTGTTAATCGACCGCCATTCATTGTACACAATTTTTGGAAAAATTCTGCCAACCGGACACCACTTTTTTCAATAAATTTTCTAGCGCCAAAAGTTACCCCTTTTATGGTTATTCCCTCCACTTTCCCTCCTCTACTCTCACCCCCTCCTTTCCTTAATTTCTATTTATCAATCAGTCGCTCACTTCTTTGAGATTCGAACCTCGAACGCTTGCTTGATACACGAGTCTCTTAACTGCTAGGCCGCGCACGATCGCTGTTGCAATGATCAATCTTTGGACGTATTTGAAGTATTCATTGAAATAAACTAAATATTCATGAGAAAATAAATATTCATAATGACGTATTGCACTATCATTGGCCGGCTCATGCGACGTCTCATGCGACGTCATGGTTATCGATGTCATGCGTACAACGTACCGCTGTTCCAGACACTTCAATCAGTTTTGACTGGCTGCTTCAACTCAGATCTGCACTACATGTGCATGCAAAATGTGCTCCAAAAACACATTTTTACCAATTTTTTTTCGCATGTCCACTCTTTCCTGGATTCCTCTTAGTTGAAATCACAAGGTGAGGTGAAAATTTGGATGTTTGGCGGCAGGTAAGTGGAGTCCGGTTGGCAGAATTTTTCCCAATTTTTTTTGTGCACAAACCAATTGCGGTCCTGGCCAATCCAGCAAGGTTGTCAAGTTAGCGGTTATTCCTCCTGTTTTCACTGCAATTGTAGGCTGAATCTTCATCGTGGATCGTTTTTTACTTCAAGGACCTGTGTAATGGTTATTCCAGGCAAGTTTGGGGTGAGTTGCAGTTGCAATTAGTGTGTAACGGGGACAAAATTGAACATTTTCCAAAAATTTTTGCCTATACTACAAGTACAAGTTACGAGAAAAATTCGCTCCAGCCCTAATAGACAACCCAATGATAAAACTCAGGGCTGGGTAACTCCAGCTACGGGGTATTCTGCAATTGTGCCCAGGATGCAATATTCTTTCCGACATAATACAAATCATACCAACATTTCAGTTAATTTTATGAGAAGATGACCCGAAATATTTCTACCTGAAATTGTGTGCACTTCCTTGCTTGGAGTTCCGCCTCATGCCGTTATATTCATGTTCATGTACTGTCAATGACCGTCATCGCCCTTGCTGTTGTTTATTATTATCACACTGAGGACCAAACTGGGAACCTGACTATTATTGTTCGGTTATTTCTCTGATTGAGGGCGCTTTACGCTTTCGGCGATAGAGTCTTCTAATCAATAACCAGCTCATGTCAATTCTCAATAAAAAATGACACGTTGATAATTAAGTACTCCAAAAATTGTACATGGACATTTCAATTGTCCTGTTCATGCAGAATGGAAATAAATGTGAATTTGAAATTAACTGAACTGAACTCGTCATGCATGTTATGGAGGGAAACACCATTTAAGCAATAAAAGCAAACTTTTTACACACTGTTTTTACTCATCCGCAAGTTCTGCAACTCCATAATATTAATATTTACCGTGACCAAAAAATATTAATAACAAATCTTTAAAAGAGGTACCACTTTAGGATAACATAAATAGTTTCCTAAAAATATAGTTTTATTGTAATAAACATTTATTTATATCTGTTTGAGTGTGGGGGACCACATTCAAATGAAAATGTTCATTAAATCAGTTTCGTAGCCAGGAGGGCGGTCGGTGTAAGGGGTATTTATTGCCCAATATTTTGTAAAGAGTGTCCTTTTTTCACAAGTGGTGCCTTGGAATTTCGCGACATTCGCGTGAAGCCTGGAACAGCATTGCACTACCTATTGGCCGATGATCGTCCCGCGGTTTGAACAGCGCCCCCACTTTGATAAAAAGATATTTAAAGGACAATATGTGAGCCCTTCCTGTGCTGAACAGGATCAGGACTTCGTAGTTCGTATCAGGACAAAATCACACAAAAAAGCGAAAGGACAAAAGCAGTTTTAATTAAGTTAATTAACTTGTTGAATTAAAGTTGCTCTCACTTTAAGACATATTGAACTACGAAATTTAGGTTTTCCCGGCTATTTTAAAACATTTTTCATTCAAATACACCAACTCTAACAATCAATTTCGTCTGAGAAAAACATTCACAAGCTTTTACCAAAGCGATTTAGTCATTTACCATTCATTTTCAAAGTTCGGTCACCACAATTAAACACAGCGTCAAGAATATTCGTCATTACAGATCAAATTCGTCTAAGCTGTTGCCGAAAGGCAGCATTCATTAAATTCGACTTATGCCAATCAATTTAAAACTGTTGTAAAGTAAATTAGTCTGGTGTGTGTTGTGTTCGAGAGCACAAAAAAGGACAAAATGCAAATGATCGAATCCTTTGAAAATGATGCCATGGATTAAAGTGGCTGCAACTTTAGGCATTAAACATGTAAAAAAAATTAAAGACGACCATGTAAAAAAAACACAGTCGATGATCCTTATTTTCCTTTGTTACATTGTTCCTATAATGAGGATGGTGAAACCGCATGTGACTGTGGGGCTGAACAGTCCATGGACCACCTGCTGGTCTGCCCCCACCTGCCAGAACCCTGCACCCACGAGGACCTAGAGAAGTTCAACCCCCGAGCGAGATCCTGTGCCCAACACCGGGAGGGAGTGGTGTGATGACCCGAGAAGAAGAAGATAATGAGTCTATAACATTTTTCAAAGAAAATCGATTGAAAAGAAACAAGCAATATGCCTATATAATAAGAGGGAAATAACAGGGGGGAAAAACAGTGGGGAAAATGTCCTCATCTGCGACCGTTATGTCTTCTACAGAGGATGTCGCAGTGAACTATTACGAAGTTGAACAAACATATCATTAAATTGTGTGGCAAAAGACGAATTTGATTTCTGAATAAGACTGTTCGGCGTAGACGAGACGAAATCGAATATTCCTCGCCGAAAATGGGTGTTCATGGATTGAATTCGATTGAACAACAATTGAAATTATATGACAAAAGACGAAATTAAACATTGGAAGTGCAATAAGTCGATGTTGACGGACGAATTTGAATATAAAAAACGGTGAATTCGAATGCTAAATGTTTTAAAATAGCCGGGAAAACCTATATTTATACTAACTAGACAATTTATTTCCAATAGTTTAAATTCTTATTTTAGCCGCCCGAAGGACACTAAAACAAAAGCCGTTCATTTATTAGTTCTCAATGGGTGAATGTTATTGAAAAATTATCTATACTAAATACATAAGTAGGAATGTCAGTCACGGAAGGCAGTAGATATTATTTACAAAAGATTTGGTAGTTTGCCCATTCTCGTCAAAAGAGGGCGCTAGATATTTTTTAACTACATGTACAATCTTTTTATTTTGTTTTCGAGATTAGCCCTACTTTTTTGATTTCATAAAAGATAGCGCCCTCTATTGACGTAACTAGCCGTTCCTTTTATTTCAATATTCTGTCGAAGAAAATGAGCTATTTCTTTTAATTTATAGGGTTACATGCTTAAGAAGTGAGTTTATTGTTTGGAAAAAAATCCGTTCCTTCTGAAAAGGGTTGCCCTCCAAAAGAGTTAATCTTTTCCATTGCTGCTGTCTTTCATAAACAAACAATTAACTCACAGCTTTTTGTTGTTTTTACTAGATGTAATTTTGATTCTGTAAAAAGAATTCTAGACACAATTAAACAAACTGGTCGTATTTCTATTCAAAAGTTTGATCTTTTATGAGGGAAACATCCATTTTAATATTGCTATATAAAAAAACATTATCCATATTCTTTCATTCTCGGAGTATGTTGGCATTAATATGAAATCCTTAAAACTAGATTGGCACTTTCATTTCATAAAGTGATTCATATTTGTATATGAAAAGTAATCTTTAATATTTGTGAAAAACACAAAGCCAGTTATTTTTGTGCAAAGTACTTGAAGCAGAATCTTTATAAATAGTTATGGTGAAAGATAAATGGTACAAATATAAACATTGCAAGGAATCAAACTACAGAAATATGTTGAAGGAGCAAATAGAACCAGTATTACTACCAAGTTATCCAAAATATAACGCACATAAGTTGTCAATTAATAATAATAATAATATTAGCAGGTTCTTATATAGCGCTTTTAACTAAGATCAAAGCGCTTTTACATTATTATTACCCCTAATCATTGGGCCAATTAAACATTCCATATACCATCTCAGCTCCCTGGGGAGTATACAGCTCGATGCTGCCTGTTAGGCGCAAGGAAGCTAATTCAATCACAATAACCATCACTGCCCTCATAGGTACCCATTTACTCCTGGGTGGAGAGAAGCAATGAGTGACAAAGTGCCTTGCTCAAGGGCACACGCACAATGACCCCGCCAGGACTCGAACCCAATTACTTTGCAACGTTACTTCAAAATTCACGGCAAAGACCATTCCAAAGTATTATTTTGGTACCAGTGTCCCTGTTTGACGATAAATTTGTACTGGACAGAAGTATTATACATTCCAATCCCACTTTAGCCTATATTCAACTATTAAAACGTTATCAATTTCCCTAGTCTATCAATTTTGATTACCATGTATGGAAGACAGCTACGATATTTTTTAGATGACTCTCCGTTATGTATCACTGCAATTGTCCATCGTTTCTAGTGCCGATAAAAGGATTTTTCTGTGCGCGAAATCGTTAAGAAGTCCCTTAGTCTTGCCTGGCCAGCCATACTGTTAGCTGTATGTCACAGAGATTGCTGGAGCAGAGATAATACCGCTCGTTTTTTAATGATGCTGCCCCATCGAGCGAGGCAGTATCTTCCCCGCAGTCCATGGTGTATCTCGACAGTAGTGTGCTTGCCTTGTGAATGGTTTGCTCACGCAGGAAAAGGGCCAGAAAGACAGAAACTACAATAATGGATACTGCTGCATGGCTGCGTGCATTCCGAGTACCGAGTACTGCCGAGTACTTAAATTGCCGAGTAAGAGTACGAGTACGAGTACTTGTACTTCCGAGTACAAGTACAGGTCTCCGAGAAGGAGAATTTCTACTTCCAAGTACGAGTTCGAGAACTTGTACTTCCGGCGAGTACGAGTACCAAGTACTTCCATCATTCCCAATACGGCCATACGACAAATGGTTCATTGTGCGTAAAAACAGACCGACTCACGGCTAGCTCCGCAAGCCAACCGACCATTTCAAACTGAAAGTATCGCGATGACATAATAAGGCTGTCGTGAGTCAAGCTACTGCTACTTGAGTACGAGTACTTTGATGATCGAGTTCAATTTCGACATGTCTAGTACGAGTACTTTGCTGCCCGAGTACGAGTATACCATCGTTTCGAGCACGAGTACTTTGACATTCGAGTACGAGTACTACAACACTGCAAAAAGTTGTCATGACGATCATGATAAAAATAAAATGCTTCAGATGCTATAGGTGCAATATCGGCTGTTTAATAGGAAAAAATGTGTGTTTTGCAATTCCAAAAGATATTTTTTTGTACAGGGTCCTCCAAATAACGGAGGAAGAGTTGTTTTGTGTTGATTTCTGTGCAGAAGCTTTTTATCCATTGGGTGAGTTCCAAGTGGTAAAGTACCAAATGCAAGCACTACGTGGGGTTTGGCATGGACTGGATGGATTGGGACTGGGTTGATCGGTTGGGGTTTTCCGGTGCGCATGGCCGTGGGTCGTGTACCGGTAATAACGGCAAGTGGGATCGGGAGGACAGAAGGTGGGGGTATCGTGGAGTTGTGGACGGCAGTGGCATGGTCTTTAAAAAAATAACCATATGTCTATCACAAAACCTGTACTGCATTGATACCTATACTATCAGCAAACCAACACAACCATTACAGTATTACCGAATTAGATTTGTACATTCAATTTAATGCATTTGCCTTTTTAATACGAAGTTATCAACTTAACGAAGTTTACGCATAAGTGAGTCATTTCAGGTCGTTCACCGGTAAGAGTTCCCCGGGCCAAATAGAGTCTCATCCGCTTTAACCAAAAAGTGATACCAAGAATGCCTGAGGGGCTATGATGTACGTACATTCTTTCAGCTGACATGGGGTGGTGACTAGGGTTAAACCTAACACGCTTCCTGAGGCGATTTTACACAAATCCACATGGCGGGCCGCTTATATTATACGTCATAGTCATTAATATGATTAATTTCCCGGTTATCTTGTTCATTAATGCAAACGAATTTCCCGACTGAATGATACAACACAGCAATTGAATACAAGGAAACCTCAAGAGATGCCGTAGAAGTGGTCGTCATACGCCGCCGAGGTCACGCGTTGCCCGGGGTGATAATGTAGACACAAACCGGTCTTACGTAGCGATAGCACGGTGCCAGGATTTTCATCAAATTTTCATCCGTAAAGAAAAGACAAATAAAGGAATCCGTCACGTTCTGAGCGATACAGTCAGCTCCGAATTCAGCACCGTCCTATTTCCGGTCTTATTTATTCAAAATGTCTGAAAACTGTCAACAAGAGAATCATTCACCTAACCACGGAGGCTTCCTCCATGACCTAACTAGCCCGTACAAATCCTGTGCTAAAAATGGCAGACGAGAGTTTGTTTTTACGCATTACTATTGGAGACGACCCCGCGTGACGTCACATTTCTACGGCGTATTTTGCATTTTTGTACCCCAGAGAATAAAGCTTTTCATTATTGCTTCAATATTGCCAGGCGCTTGCATGTACTTTTTGTATACAGTAGGCCTAATCATTGGAAGAAAGAGTCATTCATTGTTCAAAGGGCGGAGTCACTTTTGACTTTTTGATATTTTTGCCCTAAAGCATGAACGAGTAATTCAAGATGCAGCTTTTTGGCCTAATGGTTATACGGAAATTTGTGTTGTGCAAAATGCTTGTGTCCATGGGCAAGATGTTTTACTTGTTTATCCCCTAGCAGTTCCATGGGTGCGCGTGCGGCTATATTTAGTACCTATATACCTACAGTCCTATAATATGCCCATCTAAACTTACTAACCAATTCTGGTTAAGTTCATAATGAAATGCCGCAAAGTGTCTCACTACACGGACAAAATGACTCATTTATTACGATATTGAGTCAAATTACTCACTTTGTGTTTTCTGTGTAGCACTTTAAATGACTAACTAGAGTGAAAGCGTGCAGAAGCTTTCGTAGCAACAACTACTTCATCAGATTCAATGAAGAAGGGTGCATCATTATGCAAGGTTTATATAGGGACACATGGAAACACAAGGTGGTGATCAATCAATCAATTATCAATGGTTTATTGTGACAAAAAGCCACGATCCCTCATTACTATTAGCCTTGTTGAATATAGTCTAGTCTATGAATAATCCATTGTTCTGCAGTTTCCCTGCATGTCCACCCTGAAATATATTCTAATTATTATAACGTACAATTTGTTAACCAGACAAGGCAAACCTACATTTTTTCCCTGCATATTCTGGTATTCCAATGGGCTAGATTTAGCAAATTCGTTGGCGTTACAGGTAGCATCAGTCGCGAGTCAGTCAGTGAGTCAGTCAGGATATATGCAAAGATGACACTACGCTGGCCCTCTTGCATTATCAGCAAAAATAAGGGGGTATAGCAGTATGCTTTGATCGATTGATTTAAGAGAATGAGTGTATCTATTTGAAGTGTCCTCTTTGCCGCTAATGCTTGCAATTTGGTTCCATCATCAAGGTTGAAATATTTACTCAAACCTAATACTATCCACCCATTAGCAGTGCCAACGCACTGTTACAATACGTAGCTTTTTTGAGTTGTGGTGACGTGAGATGAGAGTTCCAGCGGTAAAATCCAAAAGGAGGAGTTATAGCCCAATGGATCTTTAATTTTTTTCAAACGTTCCGAGATTTTCCAAAGTTGGGTATAAATAGAATATGTTTGGCCCATTCCAGGTCGAACATGTTAGTGAGAAATAAGATTATAATGAAAGGAAACTCTGCCAAATGTGATTAATTTACTATGTGTTTTAAAATCTGTCATCAAGTTGAAAGATTCGGGGTTTTTTTAACACTCGAACCAGCGCACTCAATGTCTGTCTGTCACGTCCCTCCAACACTTGTCATTACACTTGCAAATTTCCAGTTCCACTCTAAGACCCTAAAGCGGCCGTGAAGATCTCTTCTCCAGGTTTCGTGTTACATTATCCTGGGAATTGTGCGCCGTTTCAGCCGAGGATTTTAGACTAACTCTCAAAAGGGATGCGTAAGGATTTAGCTGCGAGAGACGTGAAATTCATGTCTAGTTAACCCAGAGCTCACGGCGAGACCCAAAGAAATACGCACGGTATAAATAAAAGATGTCTAATTTGAATGTCCACCAGCCCAGATCGAGTAGAAACATCAGGAACGGAGCTGCAAATGGACCGTGTCCAGCGCTGTTTTTGTTGCTGGTTATGGCGCTTTGGGAGAGGTGCTTTTTTGCAGATGGTGTTTTGCTCCGCGATCTAGAAACTGACACCCGACAACAAAACCATGCACTGGTCGTGTGCGTCTTCATTTGCCCAAATTGAGAATCAAAGTGATTAAGTTGGAACTCACTAGGGAAAAAACATGACTTATTCAAAACCGAGCATTCAGGGGAAAAATGCCAAAAGGCATGGCCTACATTTAGACTAAAGAGATTTTAAATCATATTTCCGCGCTCATTTTCTGTGCCATTCCAATATCACTGCGGAACCATCAACACAAAATAATTTTTTGATTTAATAAAGATTTGACATTTACTGACCTACGATCTCGTACCAGTGTAATACGTTTTTTTTTCTGTGCTAAGTGATCCGCTCAGCGCTGCAAGCGAGGATCGTCACGCGCTATTGGCTGCTATATTGTGGGCGAAGTGGACCCAATAGCCATGGATGGTGGCGATATTACCGGAATGTAGTCCTATTAAAATGTCCATCTGTGGAAATCAAAAACGTCCCCTCCTTGAACAAAAGGTGTCGCAGACAACAGCACTAACAAAGTTGAAAATGATGTCAGCCTTCAAGTCGATCAGTAATACTGTCGGTTGTCTGTGACTGCTTGAAGATTATCTGTGACTGTTTCTGATGTCAGAAACTGCTTATACCGGTTGCTTGTGACTATCTGACTACTCGACAATCTGCAACTGCTGTCAAATTGTGCTTGACTGCCGATTGTATGTGACTACATATGGCATTCCAGCTGTATTTGGGAACCTGTACACAGTGCTGAGTTCCAATTTCCTCTTCTGGACCGCATATAATATGGGCCAGTCTATTTATCACAACGTTCCCATATTTTTTAAAACAAAATCAACTAACTACCAAAAAAGGGCTTAGTGGTGGCACTTACGTTCTAACTTCTCAGTTACTACACAGCTGTCATTCTGTAAAATGGCCATGAACTTCTTAACCAATATATGCTAATCATGCAAACTCATTTGCATGTGCACATGGCGGGGACCACTTTATGGACAGGTGGTAAAACGCCCACAGCGCCGCTAAGACAATTTGAATTGGTGCTGTGGATGGTAGGCGCCGTGTAATTGGATGAGCTCTCCGTCTGTGTGAGTGTAGGCGCGGGATGGTAAGGCCCCAGGACTGGCTCTAGTAGGAAAACAGGTGTTTAGACCTGTCACGTCACACTGTGACGTCACGGCTACTTGAGGGCGCTCCAAGTCAGTTTAATATGCAAAGGAATTACGGTGCTGCTAGACCTCCAGGAATCGCATATCGCTAATGTAAGAGAAACAGTAATTTTCATAAGTAAGCCCCCGCTTTGTGAATTACAGTGATCATACTGATATGATCGTGGTTCAAAACCCACTAATGCATTTTACACAAATTATCAAGTTTATTCAACATTTGTATGTATACGAGTTTGACAAGTCCTAATTTGTGATACTAAAACAAAACGTAACATCTATCCTCGTCATTTGCTCCAAGCTGCTGGAGACATCCATCTCCAAATATCAGGTCAAGTGAAATAACATAACAGGAACAGACAGCCGCTTGTTAACGAAATTGTGCACGTGAGCAGCAAGGATTCACCGTGGAATATCGACATCTCGCCGGCTAACATAACTCCGACGGCCGTGCTCTTCAGCTGAGTGAGTTCACGAGGGTATCGGAACGACTATCGTCTGTACTCGCGCCGCGTACAGCAAGCAGCGGCAGGAGGAGCAACCCTCGAGGGTAGAAGATCCGACCAGACACCGGTACTGTTCGATTTAACTCACACGCACACCTCCTTCATTAAGAAATAAGGAAGATCGTGCACGCCTCGCATGTGTGTGGTAAGAGTTTCGGAGCCACTCCCGGAGGACCTATATCAGCTATTCTCTGGAGGAATATTAGCGCGGACTGACCGAAGGATTATAGTCCAGTTCTCATGTCCAATCATCCGTTGGTAATAATCTGGACAGGATCTGAAGGGATTATTACAGTCAGCTGGGAATTATTGCTCTTGTGAAACGGGTAAGTCGAATGTTTGTATAATTTAAGTGTGGTGATTATTTGGCTTTTGGAGTGTAGAAAAACAACAAGGCTGAGGCGGCTCCCGGCGGTTAAACCTAGAGGTAGACCTCCATGGTTAAACGTCCGTCCGTACTTTTGGTAATTTGTTTGAAGTTGTTCTAAAGGGTCACATAAGATGGTGTTAGGAGCGAGCGCGGTTCTCTGAAAAAGGATATGCCTTAAACGATTTTAAATAATAAGCGTTATGGGCAAACTTTTTGGGGGTAAAATTACCGGTAAATATTGTTCGCTAAAAACGGCACTTTAGAATTTGGAGGCTAGATTTAATAGGATTCTCTCTTCTAGAGTACAATATTCGAAGTTTGAAATAAAATCTCGTTCCGTCAGTTACACGATGCATTCAGTACTCGGCATTCGCATTGCTGCATTAAGTTTCATCTATGTGAAACAAAAACATCATCATCCAAGCAAGTTCTTGAGGAGAAATTTCGCACACGTATAGTAACCAAAATGTATTGGTTTCGACTTCCCCCCAAATTGTATACTACGTGTTTTGATTAAAGTGCAAGAAGGGTATGTGAGGTATTTCATGTGTGGGACGAAGCAGGGTGCCCAGCAGGTTAGGGGTATGGTGCTGCGCGAGTGTACATAGCGGTCGTTACACTCCATCTGATAGCTGATGAACTACGTATTGGAATGCTGCAGGAAAGTTAGGTATACAACCTCCTGTTGGAAATATCTGAACGGTGCTTGACACTCCGACGAAAACTTGTTGGAAGAAAGTAAATCAAAATTTCAGGCGCCTGAATGTGGCCGTGAAATATTTTCTAGACTCTGCTATTTTTTTTCCCGAGTGCATGGTGAAAGGAGAAACGTTGATCGCGATAATGCGCTGGCCGGCCCTCCCATTGTGATTTTTCCCGCATTTATACAACGCTTTCTGACGACTGAAATAAAAGCTGGCACGGGGATGTTTTTTTGGCAAACGAAAAAGTCTTTTGCACACCCGCAGTTACCTTAAAGGTCATACACCTGAACTTGAAATTGGAAAATATGCAGTAGGGCGGAGGAGGGTATCAAACGGCTGTTGATAAATTTCATAACGATCCCGCGTGTAGATAACATTTGGTAAAAATATAAAATTATGAAAAAATATGATATTTGAGGTAGGCCTATAAGGAAATTTCAAAATGTTTGTTATACACGCTCTCTAAGTTCCAAAGAATAAAACATTCACTCCATCCAACTAAAGCTGGGGACTGGACGACTTCACTTGAAATCCATTCAAAACGATCCAGTTTTCACTCGAGTTTCAATTGAAGACATTCTTGTCAAAAGTGTTTCAATCTAGAATGAGAGTAATTTTAACTCTTACAGTCGTCAAGTCTTTAATTTCACTCCTATGAATTGAGAGAAGTTCTTTAATCCACCCCAGACAAATGTGGTGTTTTCTTATGTTATTCTTGTTTTTAGATGGTTGGATGTATAACATTTTCAACGTATTCACTTATTTTGTTTGAACATGACCGGGGGATACGCCCGGCAGGTTTTGCCCTGACCAAGTACCAGCATCTGTGTGCGTCAGAATGTTATTTTTTTGGGGGACGAGGACACTCGAGGACGAATACACGAGGTTTGAAACGAGCTTGACAGAGACCTGGTTTACACCCGACTGCGCATACGGGTTTCGACACTTCATCAGCCAGCTATTTTCTGATTTAAGCTTTAAAAAAAAGGACAGAAATGTTTTACTTCTATACCGAAAAGACGAAAATGCAGCTGTCTCTGGAAAGTGTATGAGAGCTGTGTGGACCCCAAAACGCAGTTTTAAATTGACAATCATCTTAGATGACATAATTATTATCATGAATATTTTCTTTCCATCAATTCGAGGTATATCTGACACAAATTCAAAAAATGCGACCATCATTCTTTACACACTAGGCCCTATTCGTGACTCGTTTTAATCTTGTACACAGTGTAACTTACAGAAATAGCCCAAATCATACACGCCAGTACTCACTTTATTGCTCACTTTATGATAGGCTAATACCACCCTTCAGTGATCCTTGTAAAAAAAAAAATGTTAACAAACGCAAATGCGACATGCTGATATGAGCAAATAGGCAACTTTTCAAAGCTTTTCTCTCCAGGTCTCAGAATCAAACCAGCTTTTTAAAACTGTCTACCGGTGTAAAGAAATAAAACCATAGCGCGACTACTTCAGACCCCTCTCTCGGTGAATAATGAGCCACATAAACCGAGTCCTTTCTAATCCAGTGCATGACAAGCAAAAATATGCTGGGTGATTTTCAAATTAAAGGTGATGTGTGAGCGAGATATCAAGCAGACTCTTTGTCATTATGTTGGCATCAATGACGTATTTAATGTGTCATTTATAATGAAGTCAGAATAATTAGCGATTATAATATGCAACATTATCGCGCTTTTCATATAAACTTTTACAGTGAATCACAAATTAATACAAATAAGTGTGTCAGGATATCGAAAGACATGACCATTCCGATAATACCAACTATGAAACTAGTCTCCATAAATCATGCCAGATCCACTGTCGTGAAGTACGACAGTTGCGTCATATCTCTCGCTATGACGGTTTAACGTTTCCTGTTAACATAGTTTCTCCGTCGGCGCGCCATATGATACCAGCCCGCTGGTGTCATCATCATGATAACCCGGCGTTGGACGGATAAAAGCTTAAGACTTCCCCATCTGGTAAACAAGAGATTTTAATTATGAATTGCCTGGGTAGTCATCCAACAATGGATGATTGATTGGTGGAGGTCGGACCATGATGATACCGGGAGAATTACCCCATCCTGAATGCACCAGGACCGGATGCTCAAGGAGGGGAGGGGAATATGATGGCAAATTAATAAGAATGTAGCCACTGTGTGTGCCAGACTTTAATGCCATAACACGCCATGTGTGACCACCTGAGTGAGACCATATGGGGAACTTTAAAGGTATGATCTGTCAAACAAAAATACTTAAAAGAGACTTTTATGTTCACTTCTGTAACCTCGACAGGATGGTTCGGTCGTGTGGGTTTTTGTCATACAAAAATGTTTTGGAATCATTCACGGAGTTCATGATTTTTCTTGCATGTATTCTAGGGTATTCCACTGATAACCCTTTTTTTAATTGACACACAATTTTCAAAGTTCTTCGTTAAACTAGCAAAGGCTAAGACCAAATGCACTGCCTTTGCTGGAATTTTTTTTACCATGAACTTGTCAGAAACATTGCAAGTGGTGTTTCCCTAAGCTCTCCATGAAACCGGCAAAGGCAACCTACCAGTAATATTAATAATAATACTGATAATAACATGTTTTTATATAGCGCTTTTTAACTTAGATCAAAGCGCTTTACATTATTGTTACCCCTGATCATTGGGCCAATTAAACATTCAAATATCATCTCAGCTCCCTGCAGGGGAGTATACAGCTCGATGTAGCCTGTTAGGCGCATGGAAGCTAATTCAATCACAATAGAGAGAAGCAATGAGTGACAAAGTGCCTTGCCCAAGGGCACACGCACCATGACCCCGGGCTGGACTCGAACCCACAACCTGCAGCTTTACCCACAGACCACGACTGAATCCAGTTCCCTTAACTACGTCGATTTCATCCAAATTCGCACCAAGTAATGACACCTATTAAAATAGAATCAGGCGTCGGAGGACACAAAAGCCTACCGTCACTTATCATCATGCATGGGGCTTAGGAAAAATAGCTCCTAAGCTGTACTTAACAGTAGCACTGTGGCTGTTTCTTAAACATGAATTCCAGCCAAAATATGCCTGGAGGTTTTTATATTCCAATTAGTGATACTTGACTGCAAATTCCTGACGCGCAAAGCAGACAAGCTCTTCCGGTTTTCTTCTGAGCCATATGTCTTCTTTTCTTAGAAATGTAATTTGTCTTGCTTCTGGCATTGTGTTGTTTTAAAATCAGTTAGGAGGAGCGGTGCACGGAATTCATCCTTGCCTCCAAACATCTTCCCGTGAAATCTCACGAGAGTTAAAATAATAATCCGTGGACGTTAAGCTCTGAGATTACATCCTAAGAAAAGTTCATTGTGTTATTCATTACTGGTCCTTGTGGTTAGGTATAACGAGCCCGTAATCGATTTATCTTCAACCATACAATATAAGAAACAAGTGCATTAGTAGTGCACAATAAGCTCTAGCCGTCTTGCATGAAAGTCTTGCATGAAATCTATCAAAATGATCCCTGCCAGAGCTTAAAAATGCGACGCCCAAAAATGCGACGCCGATGGCACATATGGAACACCATACTTTACATTTACACCTAGATTTACAGCGATTTGTGATAAATACCACGTGACTATAATATTAATACACATATTTTGACTCCATTTACAAACTTTCATAAACAGCTTTCCGAATTGTTGCAAACAATTTTTGTTTAGTATTTAATTTAATTTAATTAATTTTGTTTGCTTTTTACTTTAATTAATATTTGGTAGTTATATTTTATGGTAAACTTAGGGGGCTTATTTTGGTCAATTATCCGGGGACGGACAGATGGACCGACCGGCCACCAAGTAACATGTAAAAGCTCCTGCCGGAGCTTAAAAAGGCAGCACTTTTTTGCTTTAATTATAGGCGCAGAACATAGTTGTTCTTGTCACATGTTTAACCATTAGCTTAATGATATCGATGTTGATACATTACTCTCACTAAAATGACAACAATGCATCATCCTATTATAATCACTCGTACGTTCGTTGCTTGCTGCGCCTGCTTTGTTATGGATCCTGTTGCGCTATAATTTGGCTATCAAGGTTGCCAAATCCATCATAAAAGTATTTTCCACCTTTTATTAGGGCCATACTAAGGATCGTGTTGGTATACCGGTTGGCAATATGGTAGTTTAGTGTCGGTTAGAAATAACTCGCAGACGGTAAGACGGCTGTGTTTGCCGTATCGTTTCTGATTAACCTTCCTGGTCCCG